TCCTACAGCACATCCCCGCCCTCGGGGGGCTTTCTGGGACCCCCACAATGTTCTGTTGGGTTTTTCTCCCCTGCACTCACTGCCACCTGGCACACCACATGGTGGTTTAGTTGTCTGTCTGTCTGGCTCTCCCTGAAGAAACACGTCAGCCACAGGAGGGAGCAGTGTCTGCAACGTCCAGCTTGGCGGGCGCTGCCATGGCCAGAGAACTTGAGGACTGTTCCTCTGGGGCTGTCCCCCTGCCTTCTCTTCCTGTAAACATCTCAAGCACTCCCCTCTGCAGCAGCCCTGGACACCCAGGAGTCAGGCCAGACGTGGGGTGCCTCCCTCCTCACAGGGTGTGTGCCTGCCCAGGGGCATCACCACATGGGCACACGTGCACACATGCAGCTGCTCTGTCCCCTGCTCCAGGCCCCAATCCTTCTGAGCTCGGCCAGCCCCTCCCTCCAGGCTTTACCTCTTGTCTTGCCGTTAAACTACCTTTCAAAACCCAGATCCGCCCGTCACCCTCTCTGTTGAAATCTTGCCTGGCTTTCCTCTGCTGCAGGATCCATCCACACTCCGTGACGGCGCCAGGAGGACTGGGAGTGCTCTGACCTCTGATAACCTCTCCGACCCTTGGTTTCTACACCAAGAGCTCAGAGACCTGAAGGTGCCACCCTACTCTCCTTCTAAGGGACTTCACTCCTGTGGTTCCCTCTCAGAAGTAAACCCTCTAGCTGTGCGGTGAGCACACCTGTAATCCCAGAGCCCTGAGAGGCTGAGGCAGGAGGATTGCAAGTTTGAGTACAGCCTAAGACCTTAGCGAGACCCTATCTCAAAATAAAAAATAAAAAGGGCTGGAAGGGCTGGGGCTGGGGCTCATCAGTAGAGTGCTCGCCTAGCACATGAGGCCCTGGGTTCCATCCTCAGTGCCACATAAAAATAAAGATATTGTATCCACCTAAAACGAAAAAATAAATAAATTAAACAAAAGGGGCTGGGGAGGTGGCTCAGCAGTTAAGCACCACTGGTATTAATCCTGGTACCAAAAGAAGATTAAAAAAGGAAAAGAAGAAGGGCCAGAGATGTAGCTCAGTGGTAGAGGGTACCGAGTTTGATCCCCAGTACCAAAACAAACAAATAAATAATAAAGAAAAAAAAGAAGTAAACACTCTACATACTCCATCTTTCCTGTTTTTTTTTTTTAAAATTTCAAATAGCCAAGGCTGGGGGTAGCTCAGTAGTAAAGCATCTAAAGGCCTTGAGTTTTACCCCCAGTACCTCCCCTCAAAAAGTGTTCAACAGGGGCTGGGCTGGGCTGGGGCTCAGTGGCAGAGCGCTTGCCTAGCTTGTGTGAGGCATGGGGTTGGATCCTTAGCACCACATAAAAATATTAAGCACATAAAGGCGTCCATCTACAAATAAAGGTGTCCATTTACAACTACCAAAAAAAAAAAAAGTGTAAAGCAGCCCCTATTGGTGAAGTGTATGAAACATCACACACATTCATTAACATACATTCATTAACGAACAGTTACAAGGCAAACCTGCATGTCTACATCCTGGATCAGGATACCTGAGCAGCACCCCTGAAACCTCAGCCCCCTTCAGAACCTGTTCCCTCCTCCTGTCCCTCTCCCTGGCATAAATGACCCCTCCTCAGGGACATTACCCTTGCCACCAGGCTACATCAGAGCCAGCTCTGACCCACACCATAGCCACTCTCAGATCCACCGGGTTTCCTCTGACGCTGTCCCTGAGCAGTGACTGGTCACTGTGTGCTTGCGGTCTCCCCTGGTCCTGTCCACTTTGTTGCAGCACCCAGCAAAGGCCCTGGCGCACATCAGGCGCTAGCGGCACGAATGAACACAAAGTGCTACGCGCCACAGAGCTGTGCAGGCAGTGGTGGCCGCGAGCTCACGCGTGGTCAGCTCAAGGGCGCGTGCCCTCGGGGTGCTGCGCATGGGCAGCAGGTTACCCCTCCAAAGGACTGGACTGGTGACCACAGATGCAGAAGGTTGCTGGGCTGCCTATGCAAGGGGCAGTGTGGCCAGCAGGGGGCAGAGGCACCTGGGTTCCCCGGGCCCAGGCCTGGCCTCAAACTGGTGCCTGCTGAAGTGGGAAGATGGGGAGGGCCGGCAGGGGGAGCTGGGGGAGCAGGGCAGCGGGACCTGCTGCTCTCTGCGTTCTTCTTTCCTAATCCCCTCCCTCTACTCTTCCCAGGAAACCTCTGCATGGCTGGGTCAGGCCCCTCCTCTGGGCTCCCTCATGGCAGCCCAAGCACCTCTGCTGGGCTCCCCCACGCTGGCCTACAGCCCTCTGCCTGGGCCTCCCCACTCCAGCCTCGACCCCTGCCGGCTGTCACCCTTGGGGATGGACTTTGAGCTCTGGGAGGGCAGGCCTGGAGCCATCTCAGTCCCTGTTGTGCCCCCAGGATTTCCTGTAAGAGGCTTTGGCCCAGAAGAATTCTTCTTAGTCTGAGGCAGGGTCTCATTGAACTCCTCCTCTCCTATTCTATTTTTTAGGGTCTCTCTGAGTTACCTACGCTGGCTTGCAACTTGTGATCCTCCTGTCTTAGCCTCCCAAGTAGCTGGGATTACAGGTGTATGCCACTGCGCCCAGTACCCCACCCCCTCCCTGATTCTAATGACAGCTAGGCTTGAGGACCGCTACGAGGCACTGCGCGAGAAGGGATCATTGAATCCTCATTCCTATAAAGGAGGTATGGGATTTATTCCTGATATCATAGATGTGGAAACAGACCCAGAGAGGTCCAGTCACTTCCCCAAGCCACACAGCCAAAGCCCAGCAGAGGCAGGGCTTGAATCTGGGTGGGCTGACTCTGGGGCCCACACTCTTATCCATCAAGAATATTTCTTTTAATCAACCTACTTGATTCCCCCTAACTTGTCAGAAGGCAGTATCTGTGGAATCAGGGGATGGGTTTGAAAGGCTTTTTTTCCCCTAATACTCATTAAAACAAACATACATCCATTTAAGATAAAACATTTCCCTCCCAGTACCACCCGAATCACCTCTAGTACCCCATTTTGGGAAATGCAGTTCCACACTAAAGCCTGGTTGCCTAGGAGAAAACTTCAGGAAGCAGCTTTAATGAGTAGATAAGAAAGATTTGCAATTAGCATCAATTGTCTGTATGCAAATTAAAGCTCCCAACCGCAGGGCCCTATTTTGTAGCAGCCCCCCTCCCATTTCACTCCCCCCACTTCTGGGTTCAGCAAATCTTCTCAGACACAGGGTAATTTTGTACCCAGCCCCCTGCCTCCGTCACCGCCTACTCCAGGCACAGCTGCTTTTATACATCACTGATTGTAAAACCCCAAGATTATCCAGGTTCACTAATGTGGCCTGTGCCCAGAAGAGAGGCCACCACAACCGAGGCCAGAGACACCCTGTCCTAGACACTCTTGGCCCCACGTTCCTCCATCTACATTTGCTGATTATTTCTCCCTAGCTCACAGCAAAGGTCTGGGACAGAACAGCTCCTCAGGAAATATTTTTCTTTTTATTTTATTTTCTTGTTATAGGGATTATACCCAGGATTGCTTAACCACTGAGCCACATCCTTAATCTTTTTTTTTTTTTTTAATTTAGAGACAGGGTGTCACTGAGTTGCTTAGGGCTTTGGTAAGTTGATGAGGTTGGCTTTGAACTAGAGATCCTCCTGCCTCAGCCTCCAGAGCTGCTGGGATTACAGGCGTGTGCCACCACGCCTAGCTCCCAAGAAATATTTATGAATGAAGTGAGCACATGAATGAGTGAAGGAGCTGTCCAAAGCAGTCCAGGAGTTCCAAAGATTGACTACTTAAACAGGAAGGTGACCTGAGGAGGAGACCTAACCCACTCTCCCTCTCCTCCGCCTTAGCTCTTCTCCAGGGCTCTTTGACTCAGGAGCTCCAGGGATGATGGCGCCCAGAGCAAGCACTGCCACCACAGCTACTCTCAACTCAGTGGCTATTAAATCTGCCAAGAGACAGGTATTTCTACACAGAAACCCGATGCCACTGTGCGGTGGGCTGTGGGCAGAGCATTCTGAGGCTGCTGCCTGAGGGCACGAGTCCAGAGAGGAGAGAAGCTGTGGGTTTGGGGAGTGGGGAGTGGGTCCCTGCTCCAGTCAGTTGGTAGAGGACTGTGAGGCAGGTGGTGGCCTGAGGGGCCAGCACTGGGGATTTGACCACAGCAGGAATCTTTGCTTGGGGCACATACCTCAGAGGGGGTCCCTGGATGGGACCGGGTCCATGACTCAGCGGACCAATTTTCTTACTCTGCATTTTTGGGAGGTAATTTACTGCTTTTAGCAGAACCTCCAGGTACACGTGGTTCAGACTCCAGGCTGCTGGGGTTCTCACCCCTAGTGCCTCCTCAAAGTGTGCCTTCCCAGACTTCCCTGTAGCTAGGATGTCACCTGACAGCACCCACTACCATGGGTTCTGGGAAAGTGCTTGCTTTCTCCATACCAAGGGGGAGCTGCACAGAAGGGACAACTCTTCCCCCTCCTCTGTCCCCGCCTGCTACCGCTGGGCACCATAGCCATCTTGAGACTAGCGACTCAAGCCAGCTTGGTAAATTTTGTGGAGCAGGAAGTTCCAGAGCGCTAATCCTTGAGGCCTCCCTGAGCCCCTGCACTGGCCTGACCCTGCCCTCTCTGGACTTCAGGTCACTGTTAATTGTTTAAGTCATAGCCAAATGCACTCCTGACAGATGCAGTCTATGACTCCCAGAAAGCATAAAAACCACTGATCTCAGTAGGAGAAAAAGAGATAAAGGGTCAGAGAACCAGAGATAGATAAGGTCAGAGAGATAGCCAGGGGTTTCTCTCCCTCTATCGGGGTCCTCAAAGGCTGATGGATGGGCAGCAGGGGTGGTCTACCAGTCTCTGAACCCTGTAAGCAAACTGGTGTGTCAGCGCAAGTATCTGGCATGTTTCTGAGGGTCCCCACCCAGGACGTGACAGGTGGTGAGGATCCCCTGTGGGCCGGGCTGCGGTGGGGCCTTACCTGGGCTGCCTTGGCGGGTCCCGGCTGCCCCCGGCCAGGCCTGTGGGAGTGCTGGAGCCCGAGGAGTACAGCTTTGGTCGGTAGCCCTTGCTCTGGCCAGCAACCGCAGGGGCGGGTGAGACCTCCCGCCGTCTGTCTGTGTGGTGGGACCTCCCGGTGGCCTCACGACCTCCACCACAAAGGCCCATACTTCCTGGGGGCTTGTGTGGCTTGGTGGGCCGTGGCACCTTGGCCAGGGACATGCAGCTGGGGCTGGAGGTGTAGACGGTGGTGTCAATGCCGCTGTCACTGGAGCCGCCCTTGGAGAGGGGGTCTTGCTCTGGCTCCAGGGGGTCCAGAGGGTCGAACCAGCGGTCGTCACTGTGGCTGCTGGACGCGTTGCTGGAGAGGGTATTGCTGCTGGAATGGCTGGAGTACTGGGGCTCACCCTGGAAGGCAGGGAGGTGTGTCATCCCAGCCTCGGGGAGGCCTCGGCCCCGCCCTCCTCCATTCCAGTGTGAGCCCTGAAACCAGAGAGCTTCAAATCCTGGCTCCCTACTTACTGGCCAAGTTGGCGTGGGCTTGTGATCTGCTCCTCTCTAGCTCACTCCCGCTCTGTGAGAGCCGTGGGGTCCGCAGCCCTGCCTGGCCAGGCTCGGGAGCGGCAGAGGCTGTGTGAACAACAGGCCTCCTCCCCTTCTCAGCAAGGCTCCTCCTCCCTTTCCACGGCCCCACCCACTCAGGAGCCCGGGACGCACCCTGTGCACCCTCTGCTCATGCTCCTGCCCAGGCCCACAGCAGACTCCAGACTCTGCTCCATCTTCTAAACACACTCCTTCCTCCACAGCTCCCTGGTCTTGCTCACCACTGCCTCCTGCTGGGCCACTCAACAGTCACCTCTCCAGCCCCCACCGCACCTTTGTTCCCCCCATGTTTACATGGTGTCCCTTCCTTGCTCAGAACTGTTTTGTGGTCCCATCTCACTCTGGGGGTATGCTAGGGTCCTCACTATAGGCCACAGGTCAGGTCTTCAAGGTCTGGTCTCTAACTGGCCTCTGTTCTGGTCTCTAACTTCATCCTCCCGTTCCTCTTGGTCACTGCGGGTCAGCCAGATTGCTCTTCTTGAGCTTCTCTGAACATGTCAGGCGCAGTCCCACCCCAGGGCCTTTGCATTTGCTTGAGTGCTCTTCCCTTGGTTATTTTCAGGGGTCACCCCTAACCTTTTTCAAGGTTCTGGGCTTAAAGATCACCTCAAAGGGCATTGCTGACCCTAAAACAGCAGGGTTTGTGGTTTTTTCCTTAACGGTGCTTTGTTTCTCTTCCACAGCGAGGATCCATTAGTGGTATAAAACGTCTCTGTTCCTTGGCTCACTGCTTACTGTCTGCACCGGGATGTCAACTTCCTGACGGGAGCTCACCTGTCCTCTTTGTCACTGTGGTCTGAATGCTCAAATGCCTACTGAATTAACAGAGGCAGAGAGACTGCCAGGAGCTCCCCCACATTAGCCCGTCTCCTGACCGCAGGCTGCACTCCCAGTCTCCCCTGCAGTGGCAGAGTCCTGTCACTGTACAATGACACTGTAACTGAGAGTGGTTCATGCCATTTCTAGGCCTGGCCTCAACACCTCCCCCATGAGCCCCTTTCCTTCCACTCCCCACTGCAATAACATAGGGACCCAGCAGAGAGGTCGAGGTGCTTGGGAGGTGGGGTGACAGCAAAGCCCCACGAGGGAAGGAGCCTGGGTCCTATCACCCTTGGAGCTGCTCCCTGAATACCTGCACTGCACTGTCCTAGGAAGGGAACTGGATTTTGTTGTGTGAGGTCACGGAGCCTCAGGGGTGGCAGTTCATCTACCAGGATTAGTTCAATAAAGAGGATACTGAGGCTCAAGATGACCCGGCTGGTGAGGGTTGGAGCCAGGACATGAGCCTCAAGAGCTCTAACTCCAGACCAGATGTTTAGCCCTCTGCTGGGGGAAGGTAGTGAGGTGGAGGATGTGCTCTAGAGGTGTTCAAGGGCCAGGGAAGCTGCCCAGCCGCCCCCCCCCCCCCACTCCTATGCCTAGGGCGGGGCAGGGCAGGGCCAGACTCACTTTGGAATGCCTGTTGGGGGAATCTTTGCCTGCTGCATCCTGCCGGGAGCTGTGCTTGCTCATGCTGCTTCCAGCCATGGCTGACAGCCGGGCCTGGGCTGGCACATGCCACAGAGGCTCTGCAAAAAAAACAGGAGAAACACCAGTGGTTAGGAGGGACACAGACAGGGCCTGAAGAGTTGGCCCTGAATATGGCTGGGTGTCCCCCGCTTTGCCAGCCTGTCTACTCACCTGGCCCATCAAGTTACACCTGGGGTATAAATTACCTGAGGGTCGGAATCATCAAAGCCAAACAACCACCATCAAATCATCCCCAAATGAAGTCCAGCACGCTTTTATACCTACTGGCCATTGGATTTTCTCTCTTGTAAATTACCTGTTCATCTCTTTTCACTATCTATCTATATCATCCATCCTTCCATCGCTCTGTCCATCCATTTACCTATCTTATCTTTTGTGTGGTACTAGGGATTGAATTCAGAGGCCCCTTACCACCCAGTCCCACCCCCAGCCCTTTTTATTTTATTCTGAGACAAGGTCTTATTCAGTTGTTGAGGCTGGCCTCAAACTTGAGATCCTCCTGCCTCAGCCCCCAGAGTAGCTGGGTTTACAGGTGTGTGTCACGGTGCAAGCTCCTTCCCCCATTTTTCCTTTTTATGTAGCGCTGGGGGTTGAGCTCAGGGCCTTATGCAGCTAAACAAGTGCTTGACCACTTCCTGAGCTACATTCCCCAGCCCTTCTTTAAATTTTATTTTAATAAAGGGAAATTGCTAAATTGCCCAGGCTGGCCTCGAACTTGTGATCCTCCTGCCTCAGCCCCTGCGTAGCTGGGATTACGGTGGGAGCCACTACACCCTGAACTTTCCACATTTTTCTATGATTTTGTATTTTACCTTATTGGTAGTTTTTCACAAGTAAAAGGTAGCAATCCTTTGTTGGTTAAATGTACAGGCATTTAAAACAAACAAACAAACATGTGATCATAATAAACAATGTCCTAAAATTTGATTTTCACTGATGACGTCTCCACACTTGCCTTTCATTTCACAGCTTCACAATTCATCAACGCAACTGAATGTGAAGCTGCTGCATTTTTAATAGCTGCGCAGTGTTCCATCAAGGGAATCTGTATCAATTATTAACCAGTGTCTACTGATGGATATTTAGCTTATCTTTTTTTTTTAAATTATTTTTTAGCTGTTGATGGACCTTTATTTTTTATTTATTTTTACGTAGTGCTGAGAACCGAACCCAGTGCCTCACACATGTGAGGCAAATGCTCTACCACTGAGCCACAAGCCCAGCCTGATATTTATTTATTTAATTTTTAAAAAATAGTTTTTAAAGCTATTTATTTTTTATTTGTAGTTGGACACAAGGCTGTTATTTTATTTATTTATTCTTATGTGGTGCAGAGGAGCGAACTCAGGGCCTTGCACATGCTAGGCGAGGGCTCTACCGCTGAGCTACAACCCCAGCCCCTGATATTTAGCTTATCTTAATTTTGCTGTTGCAGTGGCCTCTCCTCTATTTGCAACTTGGAGCGAGTGTGAGATTGTGCCCAGGACTGAGTTCTCCCAGTGGAACTGCTGGTTCAAACAGGAAGCAGGTTTGAGGCTGTGATGGTGCACACTGGTCCAGCTCCCAAGGCTAAGCAGCGGGCCTGAACTGAGCCTCTGCCTCCAAGTCCACTATGTCCCAATGTCCTATACAGAACTGAAAACTTGGGACTTAAAAATCTGACCAACATCAATGAAGGGCATGGAGTTAACATCTAGCACAACTGCATGCTCTGAACCCAGAGGTCTAACCCCAAAGTCCACACTTATTCCCGACTGTGTTCAAGATAATTGTGATCATATTGTTGAGCAGTGTTCTGTGTCAGGCAGGACTCTAGGTGCTGCGCATGCTTCATCTCGCTCAGTGTCCCAACACTCCCGTCAGGTGGCTCTCAGTACCCTCTCCAACAGAACATCAAGACTCAGAGAGGTCAAGTAATTGATCCAAGGTGACAACAAAAGGGACAGGCCACAGAGCAGCTGAGGTCAGTCTGGTGTTAGAGCCTGTGCTCAGGCCTGGCACCCTCCTGGGACTCCGCACCAGTGACAACACTGGCAGTGACGGAGGGGAAGGGCTTGAGAAGCAGGAGTCTGTTTTCTCCTAACCATGGGCTGCCCCCGCTGAGGGCATGATCTCGCTGGACCCCTGAACTGCCCTGGAAGGAGAGACCCGTAGGATGTGATTGAAGCTGAGAGGGACCAGTCATGAGCCGTGCTCAAAACCTTGGTGCCATGCCTCCGGGAGCCCGAGCTCACCTCCACACCTCCGCTGCCCGCAACGCAGCGCTGGGTGCTCGAGCCACCCTCTTGTGGAGGAAGGGGTGCCTGGGGGCCAGGCAGGATGCTCAGGGCCTGCAGAACAGCTGGCTGCTGCAGCCTGGGCCTGCTCCATGTGCTGCCGCCTGTGTGGCTTTTGCTCAGGACCACGGATATGAGGAAGAAGCGGGGCTGGCTTCTTTCCCTTCTCTTGTCTGCAGTTTGTCTTTTGGGGTGTCCTACATACCCAGGATATGTCTGGATACCCTGGGAGGTGGCCAGTCCATGCAGGGGAGCCACATGTCCACAGAGTCAAGGCCGAGGCAGTCACACCCAGCCTGAGACACTCTGCTCTCAGGTGACAACCCCACACTGTCTCTGGCTGGCTTGGACCTCCTCTGGACTGCAGGCGCCTCACATCTAAGTAGCTGCTGGGTACCTCACGGCGACCGTTCCCACACCCCCACCTCTCAGTCTCTCCTGCTGCTCAATGGCTGCTCCATCCTTTTAGCTGCTGAGGCTCAGATCCCTGTGTCACCCTCGACGCCTGCCTCACCCGCACCCAGGCATCCGGAAATCCACTCAGCTCCACCTTCCAAACACCACACCAGACTCTCCCACCTCTCCCTGGCTCTGTCCCACCATGTCTCCTACCTGGCAGGAAGCCACAGCCAGAGGGACCCTGGGACTTTGCGAAGAGCTTCAAGTCCCATCTCTCCTCTGCTCCGAAGACTGAATCTGTGGCTCCCATCCATCCTGGGTGAAGGGCAAGGCCCCACCAGACCTATAGCGTCCTCCTCCCTTGACCTTGACTCCACCACCTCTCTGGCCAGAGGAGGCCTCCTCCCTGATCCTTGCACACAAGCTTCAATGCTGTCTCAGGTCCTGGACGGGCTGTTCCCTTTCCCTAGAACGTTCTCGCCCCAGGTGACATCTTTGCATTCTTGCAGCCTCCACTGGATGTGATTTGCTCAGTGGTTCCCCTAAACCGTCCATCCTTCTGGACGCTGGTAGTTTCTACTGGTATTACTCTGTCATCCCTGTCCCCTGGGTGTGGTCCGCCTCTCCACTATTAGTCCCAAGAAGGCAGGGAGTGTGCCCACTGGGCTCCTACTGCTCCCAACACCCAGGCTGGTCATATCAGCAACATCGGGAAGGAATGGAAGGGTGAAGGGCCAGGTCCTTCCCATCCTGGCTGTCCAGTGTCTTCTTGCCCCTGCCTCTGCCCTCAGCAGGCCAGGATCCTGGGCCTTGGCCCTTCACTGGGCCCTTTGGATTGGCCTGGCTCTCCTGTCCCATCTTTGACATGAAGGACAATTAACAGGATGGCCAGGCATGAATTTGTGGCCGCTGCTGAGCACGGGGATGCCGTCCCAACCTGGGTATTCTCAGGCCTGGAAGACGGTGGCAGGTCCACACTGGGTGACTGGGGTGGTGTCTGAAGAGCCTGGAACCAACAGACCTAGTTCACATTCCCACTGTGTTGCTCACCAGCAGCAGCAGCAACCTTTCTGTGCTTGGCCATCTCTCTCATCTCTACACAGGGCAGTCACATGCCCACTGTGTGCCTGTGGTGACTCACTAGGAAGGTATGTAGAGCTCGGGATACCGCCTGGCACATGACAACCACACAAAGCCTGGCTGCTGGTTACGGCTGCTCATTGCACCAGGGCTGGCGAGCGCCTGTCTGTGATGGTGCCTGGTCCTCGCCATCTCTTGAGCCCCATTGAACTACCTTTTCTTTGGCTCCAGGATACATTCCAGAACAGACTTCCTCATGATTTCTGAACACAGATTCTCTAATTTGTGTGTGTGTGTGTGTGTGTGTGTGTGTGCATGTACGTGCGGGGCGGTGGCAGGGAAGGTGTTAGTCAACTTATAACAAAGTCCCAAGGAAGCGAGAAGGGAATCAAGCTCTAGGGGACAAAATGGAGGATGGGGGAGAACAACAGTGAGTTCTCTAACACCCATCTGGGGCCTATGATGGATGCTAGAAACATTCCCTCCCCATCTTACACTCTGGTGTAATGAAACAGCCAAGCAACACTTCTTTTTCTGAACTGAGTGAGGATAAAGAAAAAAGATCCAAATCTGTCTGTTGTGGGACCAAGATCCCAGACCTGCAGGCAGGATCAGCTGTGGAGGAGGGGGACTGGAGGAGGGGGACCGCCTCTGCAGGCCCCAAGGCAGCAGAGGAATGCTAGGGACAGGTGGGTCTGCTTGCCTGGGGTTCACCCATTGACCCTGCTTTAAAAGAACCCTGGCCTGGGGTGTGAGGAGCTCTCCAGGGTCCTCCTCCTTGGGCATGCAACCTCTCCTATACCCTAGGGTGCCTGAGGAGCTGGGGAGGGGCTGGGGAGGGGCCACGTCACCACACACAGCTGCCTGGAAATCCTCAAACGTCCTCCAGGAGGACATCTCCCCCTCCGCCCCCTATGAGGTCAGTGCTCTCCAGCACTTCATTTTTTCCCCCTTCCTTTTGAACCCATCTCACCATTCATCTGGAGGTCCTCAGACTTCAAAGGGACTACACGTTTGTTACATGAGAATATGTTTGAAATATTCAACTAAGTAGTACAATTTATTATATGAGAATAAACATTTGGGAAGATGCTCAATCTCATCATTCATCAGAAAATACAAATTGAAAACACAATGTGACAGGGGCATGGTGGCATACTCCTCTTAATCCCAGTTATTTAGGAGGCTGGATTGGGTAACACAGCAAAAAGAACCTGTCTGAAAACAAGGCACAACGTGATGGCACAACATGCCCACTCAAATGGCTGAAATGAAATTAAAAAAAAAAAATTAAAAACTTAGTTAAAATATGTATGTACGTAAGTACTAGGGATTGAACCCAGGGGCACTTTACCACTGAGCTACCTCCCCAGTCCTTTTTATTTTTTATTTTGAGACAGTGTCTTACTGAGTTGCTTAGAGCCCTGCTAAATTGCTGAGGCTGGCCTCAAAATCGTGATCCTTCTATCTCAGCCTCCCAAGTTGCTGGGGTTATAGGCATGTGCCACCGTGTCTGGTGGGCAGTTTCTTATATATGACCTAGAAGAAAAACGAGCATTCTCTGCCAGAAAAACGAGCATCCATTCATCAAAAGCCAGGTGCAGTAACATTCCCAGTGGCACTCCTCTAAGCAGCTCCGAACTAGAAACAACCCAAATATCCATCAACACAAGAATGGAGCAATAAATTATGGTTCATTCAGACAGTAGAACACTACTCAGAATTTGCACTGCTATACAGTCTCGCGACGGCTCTCACAAATAAGACATTAAGCAACAGAAGCCAGATGCATATGCACAAAATATATAGAGACTGACTGTATATTCTATGAAATAAAAACCAGGCAAAATGAACTTAGGCCGAGAGAGGCAGGACGGGGTGGTCTCTATGGGTGACCCAGAGGATGTGGGGCCTTGGGAGGCTGACCATGTTGTTTTTTGCCCTGGGTGTGTTCACTGTCTTATGCCATCAACTGCATGCTCATGATTTGGGCTCTTTCCTCAGCACATGTTACATGAACATCAAACTTGAAAAGCAGCCTGGCAGGGTTTCATAAAGGAGAGTCACGGGATGCAGCGGGCTCTGCTCCCCTTGGAACAACCCTGCCAATCCCCTTCAGCTATCCTTCCCAGCTGCCATCATGTCCATGTTACATGTCCCTCCTCCAGCTCTTGGGAGACCATCTCTGACGCCCTATCTGGCTGCATAAGGATCATGGTTCAGCTGCTACCCGGTGACCCCTCTGCCTTTCCTATGGTTCTTATAGCTTTTTGTGTGTTTCATTCATCACTGATAGGGAAGTGGGGGTTACCTGTTGAAATGTAGGTAAGAGGACCTGCTGGATGAGGTGGGCCAGGAATGGCTGGCCAGGGAGGCCCTACCTGGCTTCTGGCGCTCCATGGTGCTCTCCTGGCTGGTCAGGCCGCCTGAGGAGGAGTCGCCGCTGGACATCCCGTCGTGGCTGAAGTGGGGATCGAAAGACAGCAATGGGTGTGGGGCGGCTGCATATCTGCAGGGGAGGACAGGGACAAGAGCACAGGGTGAAGGACAGAACTTTATTGTCCTGAGTCTTGCTCACAGTGTGTTCTACACCCAGAGGCTCTGCGTGGCCTGAGGCGAGAAGCTGCTGGCCAGGCTGCAGGCTCAGGAAGACATTTGCCTGGAACCCTGTCAGGGAGGCAGTGGTACAGGGAGCACAGGGCATGGCGGGCTCCTGAGGAAGGAGTGTGCAGAGATGTGGGGCAGCGCCCTGTCCTCGAGTTCCTTCTTGGCTGTGAATCGGGTGAAGTATCTGGCTTTGCCAGCACCTGCCACTCAGGCAGCCTCTGTAGGTATGGGAGGCCCTGAGGGTAGGATGGGTTTTACACTTCACTACTGCCCTGTGTCCAGCAAGGCCCAGCACCTTCCAGCCCTGAACCTCAGTCTTTCCAGATGTCAAGGGGCAATCACAGCAGGCTCCTCCTCACAGTACCTAGCCTAGGGCTGACATGAAATGTGTGTCACTCAGCCCACAGGCTAGAACTCTGTATCCTTTTGTGCTGAGGAAGGCACTGCCTGGGGAGATCATGGGCTCAGACTTCAGAAGGAGGCAGATCTAGGATCAAACCCCAGGCCCACCCCTTACTATCACCTGACCCTGATTAGGCAAGTGCTTCTGGATTTGAGCTCTGTTTTTCCACTTGAAAAAACTAAGGCAGTACTGACTGAGTTCCAAGGAGTGTGCAGAGACGTGGGGCAGTGCCCTGTCCTCATGCTCCTTGGCTGTGAATGGGGTGAACTACCTGGCTTTGCCAGCGCCTGCCACTCAGGCAGCCTGAGTCCCAAGTTCTTGGAGTTGATGAAATAATAAAATTGTCCCCTAGACAGAGGTCCTCCTGGGTGCTGGCTCTGGACACCCAAAGGCAAGGCAAGGACTTAAGGGGAGGTGGTGGCGGCAGATGGTTCTCCCTGCGGGCTCAGGGCCACTGGCATTTTCCGTGCCATGGGGTCAATCTTGTGGATCCCTTCCAATGTCTGACCTACCTCTGCTCAGAGCCGTTGTGGTAGAAACTCTCCTCTCTGCCTGAGGTTGGTTCAAGGACAGGTGCAGCACACAACTGTGACTAAGGATATGTGAGGATTTTGAGGTTTTTTTTTGATACTGGGAATTGAACCTGGGGTACTTTACTGCTAAGTTACATCCCCAGCCCTTATTATTTTGAGACTGGGTCTCCTTGAGTTGCTTAGGGCCTCAGTTGAGATCCTCCTGCCTCAACCTCCTGAGTCTCTGGGATTTCAGGTGTGTCACTTGCACCAGGTTGGTTTTGTGAGTTATTAAGACTTCTGCAAAATATTCCTGGCTTTCCACCTGCACACACTGCACAGCTGCACTTTCCAAGCCCTCGAGACTGGTTGGATGTGTCATGTGACTAGTTCTCGCCATCAGGGAAGTGACTAGAGGCTCACGGCTGCTTTCCTGTCCCATTAGCAGTGGAACTGCAGAGTGGGAGAGAAATAAACCTTTAAGCGCACACTCTACCACAGAGCCACACCCTCAGCCTTCGTTAACTTAAGTCATAGAGATCTTCAGGTGTCTGTTACCCAGCATAACCTGATTGTGTTGGAGAGGGTCCCCTGGGGGACTTCTGGGAATACTTTCCTTGCTCCTATGAGAGATGACAAGAAATGATGGCCTTGTTTCCTCCAGATGTTGCTGGGTCCAGACATAGCACCACAAATAGCTGTCACCTTCCCACTGGCAGCCAGAGGAAGGCCAACACCGAGGTGGGAGAGCCGAGCTGAGGGACCGGCGCGCCTCATGCTGTGGTGATGCTGGATGAACCTCTGCGCAGCCTGCCCTGCCTCTGAGCTTCCTCTGCCGTGGAGAACGTATTCCTACCAGGTATGAGGGGGCTCGGCTTTGTTTTTTTAGCCAGAAGCACCCCCTTAATGTGGACCATGAGCCCTGGGGTGGGGGGTGTCCCTGAACTTCCACTAATAACACTGATGGTGTGATTCCCCCACCTGGCCCTTTGCACCCGTGACTTCAACATGGGAGGATGTGTCCGGGAGGAGAGGTGATAAACTCAAGTCCAACAGGGTAGGTAAGCGACTTCTCCAGGGTCACCTGCCAGCTCAAAGTCAGGGCTTCTCTGCAAAGACCACACTCTAACTGCCAGGCTTAACTCCCCCAGGACAGCAGAGGGCTGCTTCAGAGGGGGCACTGGAATTTCTAGAAATTCCACTGCCCTGCCAAGAAAAAACACATTAACCTCTCTTCCCCCAACTAGATTTTGATGTCTACCACCACCTGAAAGACAGAGTCAAAACACAAACCTAATTCTTCCTGTTCTTCATGAACGTCTAAGGGCCCAGTTTTGGGAATTCAAGGGATTTTACAAAGGCGGCTCTGGCTCTGAGGTGACCTTTTCTTCCCTGGCTGCCTCCACACTTGGCCACAGCCTAGTAAATGTGTCTCCACTGCTGCTGGAGACAGAAGTGTTGACACATTTATCGTTTTCCCAAAAAGTCAATATCGAATTCCGAGTACAAGGGGAAACATTGGCAGAGGCTCTCAGGAGCCAGAGAAGAGGGAAAAGCATGAGCGGTCCAGGCTGGGCTGCTCCCCAGGACCTGCTCTGTGCTGTCTTTCCTGGAGAGAGGAGCCCAGCTGTATTTGGACAGTGAAGTGATTGACCAACAGACTACATTTCCCAGGCTCCCTTGCAGCATTGGCCAATGAGTTAAAAGGGAAAGAGCTGGGGCTGGGGATGTGGCTCAGTGGTCGAGTGCCCCTGAGTTCAATCCCTGGTGCCCTCCTCGCCTCCAAAGTGAAAGAGCTGTATGTGGCTTCCAGCCAGAAAACCCCTCAGAGGTGAGCTCTGGGTGCCTCTGCCTCATCATGCCCTGAAGGCCACAGCTTGAGCACTGTGGGCTAGGAGGCAGGCATCAGGCCAAGGACAGCGATGCATCAAGGAGGAGCTGGATCCCTGACAACATGGGAGAAAGAAAGAAACCCTCCACTGAATCACTGCTTTCCATGTCATGCAACTAAGCCTAATCCTGATAGACCACCTCAGCTGGACACAATGCCAATTCACTCTCAGCTACTGTCCTCAAGCAAGACAACCTGCACTGTATCAAGTGCCATTCTCTTATAAGACTTTCTATTATCCCCGTCAAACGGATGGACCTATGTTGACCACTCACTGGAACTGAATGTCCCACTTGGGGCCATTGCTATAACTGTCAAACTGGGTGCCCAAAAGTACAAACTGACTGAAATCCGGGCATCTGCCCATCTCCCCATGCACATGCAGCTCTGGGCAAACATCCCTGGAAGAAGAGGAGAGGGAATGGCTGTCTTCCATCTCATCTGAGATATTTTAGAGGAATTACTCTATCTTTTCTTGGAAGATGAAATCACTTTGGAGATGAAGGATTTGGAGTTTTGATGAGGGACTTACTCGCTACAGTTTTGGGCATCTCCAGGCTTCTGCCGGAAGTGCCAACTCTGGGGAGGTTGAGCTGGGGGTGCCCAAGTGAGCCTCAGAGCAAAGTACCAAATAAGTGTGAATGTGAACATGAGCTTCACCAGAGCAGAGGGCTCTGGCCTCCTCTGTCAATCTACCCTCATCAAATTACAGGATGGTTGGGTAAAAGGGTAGACAGATGATGTAGTCATTGTTAGCAGCCACCCCAACAATCATTGCCTTCTTTGTCCCTGTTGATGGAGCAGATTTTGCTCTGGCACCAGTCCTGTGTCATATGACTTGAGTAAATCCTGACAACTTAAAAGGCAATCATTGGGGTCCAAAGCAATCTTCCAGGATGGATAAGTGACTCAATTCCTTCTTCTTCTTCTGTTTTTGGTACTAGGGAATGAACCCAGGGGCACTTAACCATTGAGCCACATCCCCAGCCCTTTCTAAAACTTTTTAAATTTGAGACAGGGTCTCGCTAAGTTGTTGAGGCTGGCTTTGAACTCCTGACCCTCCTGCCTCAGCCTCCCAGAGTCATTGGGATTACAAGTGTGCCACTGTGCCCAGCAGTTTCTTCATTCTTAAAAACAGAAAGTAGTTCTTCCCTCTCCTTTTGCAGGGCACTGGTTTTACTTGGGGCTATGAGTAAAGCCAGATAGTTGAAGACATCCCTGAGTGTGGGAGATGATAATTACCCACCTCATGCCTTCTTTTTCTTTTTAACTATACAAGGGACTGAACCCAGGAGCACTCTACCACTGAGCTACATCCCTCGCCCTTTTGATTTTGAGACAGGGTCTCGCTAAGTCATTGAGACTGGCCTTGAACTTGTGATCCTCCTGTTGCTGGGTTACAGGGGTGTGCCACTGCACCTCCCACTTCATGTCTTCTTGAGTTAGGTTGAGTCACTTGTGGTCAAGTGCCTCCTAAGGAATGTACTATTCTTTATGGAGTTGGCTGAGGAAAATAGAAAAAAAAAAAAAAAAAAAAAGACCCTCTAGGGCACCTGAGGGCTCATCCTGCACACAAGTGGCAAACTTCTGGGAGCAGGGACTGCAGCACCAGGCTCTACTCCAGCTGCCAACATGGGCCCTTCCTCAGTGCTGACAGTAGCAAGCCTTATGGAGCACTTCCTACGTGCTGCGCAATTTTCTGGGTGCTCTCCACAGTCTAGGAGATAAGCATATGGAGATGCAGACAAACCGACCTGCACACACTCACTCAGCCGGCAAGAGACTGTGTCTGGTTTTGAACCCTTAATGATCATGTCATCCTGTCTCTCAGTAAGACAGGCCACAAGACAGGCTCTGTCTGTCTACCTTTGTGCTCCTAAAAGCTTGAGTTCATCCAGCAACTTGTAGGCCTGCTGGATATAACAGAGGGTCCTCACTGGGGACAAATATCTCTGGCTGGGCTGGCATGTCTGATTGGATCACATGGGCTCAGGATATCATGAGACAACTGTGCAATAGGGAGAGGGAAGAAGCTAAGGCCAAGGCTACTAGAAAAGCTCTGACCTGCTCTTGGGCCTTTTACTGCAGGCTGGTGACTGACTGTGAGAGGTAGTTCTGGGGGTTTAGGGCATGAGGCGTGCTAGAACATTCTGTGTCTGCCAACTAAGCTGTTGACAGACACAGTAATTTAAAAAATTTTTTTTAAGTTGTAGATGGACACAATATCTTTATTATTTATTTTTATGTGGTGCTGAGGATCAAACCCAGTGTCCCTCACTTGCCAGGCAAGTGTTCTGCCACTGAGCTACAACCCCAGCCCAGAGATAGAAAATTCTGAGATTTAAGTTGCAGAGGGCAGACTCTTGAGCATTAGAAGAGAGGGGTGGGCTGAGAGGAGCTGGATTCTGGAGAAAAAGGGATATTTTCCCACTTGCTAATGCCAGAGAGCCTGAAACGCAAACCCACAGCCCTGTGAGGGTTTCTGTGGACTAGGATTCCAGAGGGAACTGCGCATGTAGCCTTGAGGTGGAGGAGCTGAGTCCGTGGGAAGGCAGGATAGCTCTGAGGTCAGGGTCAGGCCACAGTCACAGACTCTGCTTCCTGGCATAGTGACCATAGCCAAGTTAATTCACCTCACTGAGCCTCAGTTTCCCTCTTTTTAAAATTTTTTAGTTGAAGAAGGACACATATATTTATTTTTACTTACTTACTTATTTATTTATTTTTAATTTAATTTAATTTTTTAAATATTTATTTTTTAGTTGTAGTTGGACACAACACCTTTATTTCACTTAGTTATTTTTATGTGGTGCTGAGGATCGAACTCGGGGCCTCATGCCTACAAGGCAAGCGCTCTACCCCTGGGCTCCAGCTCCAGCCCTGAGTTTCTCCTCTTTAAAACGGGGACAATGAAACAACTAGCTCATGGAGTTGCTCAGAGGACTCCCCGAGATCATGCATACAGATTTGATGGGACAAATTAGAGAACCTAGAAACAGATCCACCCAAATATGCCCAATTAATCATGCTCCTATTATTGATTTTTTGGGATACCAGGGATTGAATTTGGGGTGCTTAACACCAAGTCACATCCTCAGCCTTCCCCCCCTTTTTAATGTTTTATTTTGAGACAAGGTCTCACTAATTGCTGAGGGCTTCTCTAAGTTGCTGAGGCTGGCTTTGAACTTGAACCTCCTGCCTCAGCCTCTGAGCCACTGTGATTACCAGTGTGTGTCACCACGCCCACCTAATTTTTGTTTTGAGGAGCAAAAGCAATGCCGTAGAAGAGGGACAGCCTTTCCAATAAATGGTGCTGGAGAAAATAAAAAAAGGAACTTCAAGTTCAACCTCTTGTCTAGATAGACAAAAGCTGAGCGAAAAAGGATTAAGGACTTAAATGTCAAACCTAAAACTTCTAGGGAATAAAAGCGGCGGGGGAGGGAGGGATCTTCAGGATCCAGGACTAGACAGGGTTCTCAAACAACACCAAAAACATGATTAAAAAAAAAAAATGATAATTTGGACTGCATCAAAAATTTTAGTTTTGTTCTGCAAAGGACCCCATAAAGAAGGTAAAAAGGAAACTTAAGAATGGGAGAAAATACTTGAAAAATCATGTGTCTGACAAAGGACTTTTAGAACATATAAAAGTCTCTCAAACACTGCAAAGCATGGACTCCAATTAGAAAATGGCAAAAGACATACACAGACATTTCACTGAGGATAATATGCAGTTGGCAAATCAGCACATGAAAAGCTGCTCAACACCGTAAGCCATCAGAGAAATGCAAATTGAAACCACAAGGAGATATCACTACATGCCCATCAGAATAGCTAAAATGAAAAATAGTGACAACACCAAATGGTAGCGAGAATGCAGAGAAACTGGATCTTTCATCCACTGCTGGTGGGAATGTAAAATGGACTTACCAGATGGCAAGCAATTGTACTCCTGGGCACTTATCCCAGAGAAATGAAAATTTATTTTTGCATAGAAACTTATATGCCTGAACGTACATGTTCACAGCATGAATATCCATAATAGCCCACACCCAGAGACCACTCGAATGTCTTCCAGTAGGCGAGTAGCTCAACTGTGGTACATCCATACTGTGGGACACAACTTGGCATAACAAGGAATCCATTAGGAGACAATTATTTCCAAGTGAAGAGTTGAAAAAAATACTACAGAGGGGAACACCAAGACTTTGGATGGAAACGCTCCTAATGGTCCTCAGTAACTCTGCCACTTACATCATTGGCTTCATGCCAACTGCCATGTCTAGGCTGAGACCTTGCTGTGGCCCAGGGGTCCTTGCAGGACACATCTTATATGGACCAGATTCTTCCTGGTTCCTCCTGCATTTCATGCCATCCTTCTGACTCTGTTTGTGGCCTTGTTCCTCTAGAATTACCTTGTTCCTCCTCTCTGTGGCCAACTCCTACTAATCTCCCCAAGTTCTGTTCAAATGCCCCCTCCTCCAGGCAGCCCACTTGGACCTCAGGCCCTGGGCTGTGCTTCCTCCTTCTTTGTGGAAATGCTCTGTAAGACCTTCTCTCCACCACGATCAGCAGGAAGCCCACTGGACCTGGAACCAAGCAGCTTGAACATTTCTCCTGGCACCAGATACACAGAAGGCTCTTGGGCCCATGCTGAATGACAGCTGAATGGTGGCCACTGGAAGGTGAAACAGTGGGTATATTGCTCCAATTTTGCAACAGAGGCTCAGAATCTAATGATGGCATAGCATGGCAGCTCCGGAGTACCCAGTTCCTGGGCGAGCACCATCGGTACAATGTGCTCTACTGTGGACCTTCTAGCTCAGAGAGGCCGACACTCGGGGTGAGGCCCAGTCATCTGTACTTAACTAGTCCTTATGGAGGTGACTGAAGACTGAGAACCTCTGGCTGGTGGACTGGTCCTGGACCAAAAGCAGATGGTTTTGTTTAAACAAACCCGCCCACACTGTCCTTTCATCAACTATGTACCACAGACAGTCACATGTCAGTCCCTGTGCTCTGTGGTGAGAACATGAGGAGAGACTGGCACACTCCTAGATGCTGAGTGCGCTGCCGCCCCCATGTGTGTGCATACACATACGCGTGCATACACGTACTCTTAACTTGCTCAAGGCCACGTTCAGTAAGCTCCCTGGGAGCAGGAGCGGAGGAACCCAGGGCAGCACCTCCTCCATGCTGGGGAGGCTCGAGGAAGCTTTCCAGGGCGCAGTGGAGCTCAAGCTGGAAGCAGGCTGGGTGGGAGGGAAATGTGAAGGACTTCCACGCTGAGGACAGGACACAAGCGAGCGCTCTGAAGAGCAGACAGCCCACCTAGGACCTAGGAACCTGGAAGTGGCTGGTGGGGCTGGCGGGTGGCACTGCACTTGACTTGCAAGGTGCCAGAGGCCTTGGTTGATCACAATGAGGGGCCTGTGGCTGTGTCGGGAAGTTGTGGGAAGGTCTGGACAGATACAGAAAGTGCTCTCAGGTACTGAGTGCAGGATGGACCAGAGGAACGGACACAAAGGCTGGGGGCCCATAGAGGCGGCTAGGCCAGGGCAGCAGGGAGAGGAGGAGAGTGCAGGGACGGAGACTCTGCAGGCCCAGCAGGTGGACCACAGCAAGGGGCGGAGGAGGGGGGGCATCCAGGAGGAGGCCCACAGTCCTGGCCTGAGGAAAGGCAATTGGTGGGGTTGCCCCTGACACAGAGCCCTGGGGAGGATAAGCCTAGGGCACTGGAGGTGACGGTGGTTGGGAACAAGTTCAGTTGGAGCTGGATCCTTCAGGGCCTTGAATGAAAGTTGAAGGGTTTGATTGGTAGACGGGACGCAGGGACAGTACTGGGGAGCCATGGAGGGTTTGGGAAGATCTCTCAGGCTCCCAGGTTGAGAATGGTTCCAAGGGAGGGGACTAGATAATGCGGACAGTCTTAGGGGTGGGGGCTAAGTAGTTAGGTGGAAGGTGACAGGGGATGGTCTTGCTCAAGCAATACATGTGTCCAAAAAATGGCACCCCAAATCCTGCTGCGAAGAAAGCCAATGGAGAACCCCACCCAACAGAGCCATGCCCAACCGTAATTTTTAATGTGGACAAAGACAACCCCCTGATGGGACCTCTGAAGACCTCCAGGAATCCAGAAACTCCATAAAACGGCAAATAAAAGTGTAGAGAGTACATTTCCTAGAGAAGAAGGCTCCCCAGCTTTCAACAGATTCCTTAATTTGAGAAGCATGAAGAGACTCTGACCTTTCTGGGGATGGCTTGTATCTTGCGTAGGTGGCTGAGCCGGGGGTGGAGAAACTCCCAGAAGGCTGTCGGTAGGGAGGGACTCTGTCGGCCCCTGCTGGTGATGCTGTGTAAGGGGTTTCTGGGAAGCTGACAGGCCTGGAATGAGAGGGGAGAGATGGAGAAGGCAGGGGTAATGGGGAGGGTACCCCTCAAGAGGCAGACAGACAAGCCTCTCCCTCAGGCACATCTGCACCCCAGCTGCAATCCGCTCTCAAATGGTGAGGTGGATGCTGAATAAAGGGCAGTGGGAAGCCCTGACCCTTGGGCCCCCCTCTTACTGGTTCTATGGTCCCCACCCTCAGCTTCTGCAGTTGAGGCTGCTGAGGATAGTTCTTGACCCTTTCCTGGGACAAGCTATATTCCTTCTTTTTTTTTTTTTGTCTTCTTTTTTTGGTAGTGAGGACTGAACCCAGCGTGCTTTTCGAATGAACTACATTTCTAGCCCTTTTAGGTACTGGGGAATGAACTCAGGGGCATTCAGCCACTGAGGCACAAACCCCGACCCTTTTTAAAATTTTTATGTAGAGACAGGGTCTCGCTAGTTGCTGAGGCTGGCTTTGAGCTCCTGATCCTCCTGCCTCAGCTACCCGAGCTGTGAGGATTATAGGCGGGCATTGCCACGCCTGGCTAGGCTCTTTTATTTTTTGAGATAGGGTGTTGCCAATTTGCTGAGGGTCTTGCTAAATTCCTTAGGCTGGTCTTGAACTTGAGACCCTCCTCCCTCAGCCTCCTGAGGTGCTGTGCTTACAGGCATGCACCATAGTGGCTAGCTAAATATTTCTTTCTTTTTATGGTGCTGGGGATGGAACACAGGGCCTCACACTCAACCACTGAGCAACATCTCCAGCCTTTTTTATATTTTAATATATGATATATTCAAAAGAGTAAGCCAAACGTCATCATCAAACAAACTCCCTGAAGCTCCCACCCAACTCAAGGACTAGAGGGAGGCAGTAGCACCCACCTGTGGCTCCTCCCCTTTCTACTCCCCTGCGTCACCCAAAAAGCATTGTCCTGCATTTTGAATTTTGGGCCCCTTCACTTAAAAGAAAACAGTTTTAGTATGAGACTGAAGGGTAAGAAAGAAGGTAGAGAGACTGAGGGGAAAATGAAACAGAGAACGCGGAAAGAAGAGCGAGAAGGGGAAGTTCAGGTCTGGCAGGTGAAGACGGGACTGAAGGGGTGGCCTTCAGGGATCCTTACCTCTTGCTGTGCAGTGGTTGGGATTCTCGGAAAGGTACCATAGACGTCTGTTTCGGGAGCCGGCTCAGGGACTGGGCGTGGCCGGGGGTGGCCGGGGCTGTCCACTTGGAGGCTGGTAGAGAGTTGTGGGACGCAGGGCCACTCCACTGCCAGGGAGCGTTGCTGCGGTAGGGGGGCCGGCCCCCAGGGGTGCTGCTTTCGGGTTCAGTCTTGGGCTCCGAGGTGTTCATGTCATAGGTCTCTGGCCAGCCCCTGGGAAGAACAGCTCCATTACTCAGGCCCGGCCCACCAGCACGCCCGTGCCTGCTGCCTGGGAGGGACCAGCTGCCTCGCTTACACGGGACCAGGTTGTCCTGGTTAAATCTGAACCATGGTGGCTTATTTTGAAGGCCAAGCAGTGGCCTTCAAGTTAGGGTCTGAAACTTACCAGCTCAGAGTCCTAGGACAGGGGCTCCAGCGCCTGCCACCTGTCTACCTCATCCCCTGTCCCCTCCTCCTCCCTCTCTCAGTTTCCCTGCCTCTCCCTTCTCTCTGGCCCAGGCCTCCAGTCAGCCAGTGCCCTCTGCATGCCGGCTTGGCCCCCCTTAGCAGTACTCGGGGCCGGAAAGGCGGATGCCCTCGGAATCAAAGGACAGTCTCTGCCTTGTTCCAAAGAATCTCAAAGGCTGCTGGAGGAGAAGCAGGTGACCTACTTTGCAGGGTGGTTAAAAAAAAAAAAAAAAGCTACAAAACCCAGAACCTTGAAATAGATGCAGAGCGGCCTGTGAATCCCCCCAGACCAGGGCTGGCACGCGCAGCAGTGATCCTGGCTCGAGGCGGGGAGACGGAGGGCTGGTGGCATCCTGCACCATGCTGCAGCACAGCATAGGAGGGCCGCGCTCAGGAAATCCACCTCTTGGCAACTGTGAGAGCTGAGCTGGGGAGCGCTTGGCCTAGAAGCCCTCGTGCCCCTATTGGCCCATCCTCTGAGGCTTCTCTGGAGCTCAGGGAATCTTCACAGTCACTCAGCAAAAGATCTGGCAGCCCCTGTGACTCAGGCTGTGACCCTGGACATGGCTGCTAAGGAATCGTTTAAAGGTGACCTAAGGATATGCTCTAGCCACTGGGCCCAACAGGCTGAGGCCCTTGGTGTCACTGTGGTCAGAGTTGACAGAGCAGTTCCTCCAGGTTGTCTCTGTGGACCGGTAGGTGTCAGTGCCTTACCAGGCAGGGAACAATGACAACGCACATGTCTGGCAGGGCCTGTAGACAGGCCAGGCCCACAGAGGTGAAGGAAGGTGCCATCCTCCCCAGGCGGTGTTCACCTGCTGCTCCTGCCTGCCCGGCTTTTACACCCGCTTCTCCTGGTAACAGCTGTGTGCTCCAGGTGGGGTGCACCCCACTTCCTGGCTCCAGGTATGAGCATGTGACCCAGGCCTGGCCAATCAGAAACGTCTCTCTCCCTGAACACAATGATTAGCACAGGATTGTCATGTGCCCTAAACAGCGCCAGTCAGAGCAATGAGATCACCGTGGAGCTATTCCTGGAGTGACTGGGGGGCGGGAATCTACTTCTGTTGGGGCTGCTGAGCTGGGGGACAGCACAGTTCTAGTGTAGAGCTGTGTCCCCACGAGGCAGAAGTCTGCCTGAGAATAAAAACGACACACAAAAGGAGAAGGGTGATAGAGGGAGATTCCTGAGAAGGGCAACAGAGGCCCTGGACACAGCCATGCCTCATCCTGGATACCTCCTAATCTCATCAGGTGCACGAACTGGCAAAGACTCCTTTTTGCTTCACTGGGGCTGGTTCTAATGTTGGTGCACAGAGTCCTGATTGGTGGGTCACATTTCAATTAAATAAATCAAGGCACAGAGAAGTTCAGTAACCTGTCCAGGTCATACAGTCAGCAAGAGGTAGAAATTGGATTTAATATATTAAATTGACTCCAAAGCCCCTTTCACCATCATGCACACTGGCCCACTACAGAGTGGTTTGGGGGCCAGTGGGTAGATTTCTCGGGTCTCTGGTTTTTCCTCCCATATTGACAACTTCATCTTTGGTCAAGAGCCTCTGGTGGGGCTGGGGCTGGGGCTCAGTGGCAGAGCTCTTGCCTCACACTTGTGAGGTCCTGGGTTCAATCCTCAGCACCACATAAAAATGAATAAATGGAATAAAGATATTGCATCCATCTATAACTAAAAAATATTTTTAAAATATTTTTAAAAAGAGCCTCTGGTAATGACCTTCAAGAGGAAAATATCATTCACTCAGTTTGAAAGAAGCACACAGTGGTGGAGAGCAAGGCTCATGGGCCACAACGCCTGGTTACCCCCTGAGTGGCTCTGGAAGAGGCAGTTCCTTCTCTGAGCCTTAGTTTCCTAATCTGTGATTTTATGAGCATTAGCACAGGGTCGGGCACATGCCAAGTGTGTAATAAACAAGAGCTGAGGCCAGCACCTTCTCCAGATTATTCTGTGCCCTGTCAATCTGTTCTTTCTATAAACTCAAAGGCTGAAGTCTCCCATTTCTTCTCCAAAGCCCAGCCATACCCACCACGAGCTTTGGAGAGCACTCCTCTCTAGCTTTCCCCAGTAATCTGAAAACTCAGCATCTATATCACTTTTAGTGTTCAGTTAAGAATACAGATTCCTGGGCTCCATCTCAGATTGCCTGGGTGAGAATCTCCCTCGAGGCAGGGCCCGAGATCCTGCATGTTACTGAGCTGTGTAGTAAAGATGCTGAGACCCACTTCACCAGTGTAGCTTCTGAACTGTTTTTAAGAGATTAAGATGGTATAAAAGGGCATCCCTGTCCTGTAGTTTCACTAACTGAGGCACCACTGATTCCAGTTCCTTAAGTATTCTTTCAGAAATATCCTATTCAGACAAGAAGTAAAAAGAAAGGGATACTATACTTTTGTGAGTGTGTGTGTTGGGGGGGAGTTACTGGGGACTGAACTCATGAGTGCTTTTTCACTAGCTACAACCCCAGCTCTATTTATTTATTTATTTATTTATGTGGTGCTGAGGATTGAACCCTGTGCCTCTCATGTGCAAGGCAAGTGCTCTACCACTGAGCCACACCTTCAGCCCTATGTGGCTCAGGAATCTGCCCACTCTCCCAAGCTGTGTGGCCCAGAAACAGGGGCTCACTCACAAACTCCCAGCCTTGGGCTGGGGATGAAACTTGGTGGCAGAGCAGTTGCTTAGCATGCACAAGGTACCTCATCTAAGGAGCACGGGGTCTCATGGCATGCCATGCCGTCTGGCTGGTGGCAGTAAGTACACTTCTGCCCATCCTGCATGTGCTTACTATGACATTTGAGCCAGAAGCCAGGATTGCAGGAGGCTGGAAGGTTGGGGAGCTGAGGTCACCAGCTTTGCAAATGAGGTCAGCTGGCTTCCTCTGTGTTTGAAGAACAACAAAAACTGCCCAGGCCCAAATCACACCAGCCCTGCAAACGGGAGATCCCATCCCCCTGCTGGCTACCTCTGAAGGCATCAGGGGGCAGATAGAGTCTGGCTGCATGCTCCCTGTCTCCCAAAGCCAGAGATGCTTCCACTTCTGTCTGTCCCTACATGTCCCACAGCCTCTCTCATGTTCCTTAAATTTTGGAGAGTCAGTTACAGGTGAGCTGACAACAGTGTGCACAGAAGTGAGTGTGTGTGCAGAGTGAGGAAAGGGGTCTTGTCCTTGCCCGAGGAGCATGAAAGACTGCCAAGGAACTTGCCTATAGGGTGACCTCATCTAGACTTGGTCACCTACAGGATGGGTGGGATAGGAGAGCTGACATTGGGTGAGATGGCACATATCAGTAACCCCAGTGGCTCAGGAGCCTGAAGCAGGAGGACTGCAAGTTTAAGACCAGCCTCAGCAACTTAGTGAGAACTTTTCAAAATAAAAAGTAAAAAGGGGGCTGGGGCTGTAGCTCAGTGGTAAAGCGCTTGCCTCACATGTGTGAGGCACTGGGTTTGATCCTCAGCACCACATAAAAATAAATAAAGATACTGTGTGTCCATCTACAACTAAAAATATATTTAAAAATAAAGTAAAAAGGGTTGGGGATAGAGCTCAGTGGCAAAGATCTCCGGGTTCAATCCCTAGTACCAAGCAAACAAAAATGAGAGGTGAGCCTTGGCTCTGTGCAGAGATGGAAAAGGCATGGTAAGAGGGCCGGGGCGGGGTATGCCTGGGGCGTGATGGGAACCTGAGGCTGAGGGACCCAGGGTATGGGCAGAGGCGGCTGTGCCCTTGGTGTCAGGGCTGAGGGCCTGCCCTGTTTCCCAGCACATGTTCATAGGTGGACTTGGAGGTTGAGAACTTGACTTTCATGCCCGAGCTCTAGATGGCTTTTAGAGTCCAGAGAGTACTGGCGAACTAGGATGCGAGTTTTAATTCACTACTTATTAGCTGTGTACTCTGCAAAAGTGACTTGGCCAACTCTGGGCCTTGATTTCCTCTGTAAAGTGGGAATCCCATCAGTCCTGGTGGGAGCCCACCGAGGTTAAGTGTGAACACAGCACTCAGTGTCACCTCACCCCATGCCCCCCTTTTGGCTCAGTCTGCTCGGCCATGCAGGCCCTCCATTGGTCTGTCAATAGGCTGAGAGCCTTGGTTCTCCCCCTGGGCTGCCCCTCTGTCAGCTCCTGTGCCCTTCTTCCTCAGGGCCAGAATCTCACAGCCAGTGTCTCCACAGTGCTCCTAGGGACTGAGTGCTGTCCTAGGAGCTTCATGAGTCTTCCGGCCTTTCAACCACCTTGGTGGGAAGGATCTACTATGTTCCCAGTTTTATGAATGAACAAGGTGGTACAAGGAGGTGAAGCCATTTGCCCAGGGGTCACAGGTAATAAGAGGAAGAGGGCTGGGGATGCGGCTCAGTAGTACAGCGTTTGTACAGCATGTCTGCGAGGCCCTGGGTTCCAACCCTAGCTCTGCAAAAAATAAATACAAAAATAATAAAAAGGGAAGAGCTGGGATTCAAACCAAGCATTCTCATTGCAGAGCCCACCTTTTCTTTTGCTATTTGAAATTATCTTATTTATTTGTTGTTGGTCTATTCTGACTCACTCATTAGCTCCACAAGGACCAATGCTTCGACTGTCTTCGGTGGCCACTGTGTTCCCAGAGCTCAGAACACAGTGCCATTCATTTTCTCTCTCTTGTTGGTCATCTCTGGAGGTTGCTAGGGTACCAATTCATCATTCTGAAAACTGCATTTATCTTGCCTTCCCTGTACAAATTACACTAACCAAATGCTTCCTGATGGAAAGTTCTTTTTAGGAGAATGCCAGCTGATCAATGAGGAAGGATGACAGAATTGAGACACTGCTCCTCTGTGACCTGTAATGAAGTAATGGATCTAGGCAATGACCACAAAGGGCTGCTGTGCCATGAGATGGAGGGCTGGGGGATGAAGGAACCCACAGGTCACTCTCTGAAGGATAAAGACTTGCAATGCCTTTTGGTGGAGACACACTGAGGAAGCATGGCGGCTGAGAGGCTTTCAACCCAAACCTGATTGTGCCCGTCTGGAACTCTAGTTTGTAGAAAATACCTGTGCTAAAGGGACAAGTTAAAGGGCACCACAGAGAGGCAACCAGCTAAATCCTAGAAGTGGGAAACTATGAGGACAAATGACCTTGTTTCTTCCCAATACAAACTTTGAAGAAAAATAAATAAATAAATAAACAGAAAAGGGACGCTTACAGAAAAGAACCTTAAGAGAGACATCAACCAAGTGCAACAGGAAGATCCTGATCAATAAAACAACTTAAAAAAACATATCTGGGCTGAGGCTGTGGCTCAGTGGCAGAGCGCTTGCCTAGCATGTGTGAGGCACTGGGTTCGATTCTCAGCACCACATATAAATACATGAATAAAAGAAAGGGTCCATCAACATATAAAAATATTTATATAAAACTATATATTTATGACAATAGGGAAAATTAACAAATATTGGATAGCTGATATTAAGCAATTACTCTTTAACTTCTTAGTAATTAAAAAGATCCTTAATGTGCAAAAATACATTCCAAGGTTTGGACTGTTTTAGATAATATAAGGTGGGGGTGGGGCAGGGGAAAGGATGTAAAGATTATAAAAACAATCAAAAAACTGACCATACATTAATGAGTGTTCAAACTGGGGGCTTAGTACAGTCATCCCTGAGTCTCTGTTGGAGACTGGTTCCAGGATCTCTCTGGGATACCAAAATCTGAGCATCCTCAAGTTCTTCATGTAAAATGGCATAGTATTTGCATCTAATCTATCTATACACACACACACACACACAAAATGTGTGTGCATGTATGTGCGAGTGTGCGCACATGTGCACGTTAGGGATTAAACCTAGGGCTTTGGGCATGCTGAATTAATTACATCTCCAGCCCTGACTTCTGTACTTTAAATCATCTTTAGATTACTTATAATACCTAATACAAGGCAAATGCTATATAAATAGTTGTTATACTATATTGCTTATGGAAAAATGATAAGAAAAAATAGTCTCTGTGTGTTTAGTACAGATGCAACTCCCTCTTCTCCCTGACAAAATTTTGATCTGCATTTTGTTGAATCTACCAACATGGAACTAGCGGATGCAGGGCCTGCAGATGCAGAGGGCCCACTGTACACCTTTACTACATTTTAAAAATGAGGGTTAGGGCCGAGCGCAGTGGCGCACACCTGTAATCCCAGTGGTCGGCAGGCTGAGGCAGGAGGATCACGAGTTCAATCAAAGCCAGCCTTGGGGCTGGGGATGTGGCTCAAGCGGTAGCGCGCTCGCCTGGCATGTGTGCGGCCCGGGTTCGATCCTCAGCACCACATACAAACAAAGATGTTGTGTCTGCCGAAAACTAAAAAATAAATATTAAAAAAATTCTCAAAAAAAAAAAAAAGCCAGCTTCAGCAATGGCGAGGTGCTAGGAAACTCAGTGAAACCCTGTCTGTAAATAAAATATGAAACAGGGCTGGGGATGTGGCTCCGTTGTTGAGTGCCCCTGAGTTCAATCCCAGTACCAAAAAAGAAAAAAAGAAAAAGAGGGCTGGGGATTTAGCTTAGTGCTCGAGTGCTTGCCTAGCATGTGCAAAGCCTTGGTTCAATCCAGTAGGTGCACGCCCATAATCCCAGTGACTCAGGAGGCTGAGGCAAGTTTGAGGCCAGTCTGGGCAAATTAGCAAGACCCTGAGCAACTTAGCAAGACCCTGTCTCAAAATACAAAACTAAGGCCTGGGATATGGCTCAGCGTTAAAGCATCGCTGGTTTAATTCCAGCTCTGCAAAACAGAACAAATCAAAGAAACAAACTCTCCTCTGACTTCCCACTGAACAGAAAATAAAACTTAAGGGGGTCCAGAGGCCCATGAACCCCACACAATCTGCCCCGCCACCTGTCCTTTTCTCCCAGCTCTCGCCCTGGCTCACTCTGCTCCAGCCACTTGCTCCTCCCCGTGTTCCAGGTAGGTGCCACACCATGCATACGTCACGGAGTCTGCCCTGGTTAGTACTCAGGAAACCATTCGATGGCTGCCTAGGCCATGGAGCCTATCTCAGCCTGCTCTGCCCACCATAAACAGCTATCCTGTCATACTGTAGCCCTTCTGTTGACCATTTTCTTTCTTAAAACTGGTTGCTACCCATCCTGTATCACACTTCTACTTTTCTTTAAAATTTTTTTTTCAGTTGTTGATAGACCTTTATTTTATTTATTTATATATGGTGCTAAGGATTAAACCCAGTGCCTCACACATGCTAGGCAAGCGCTCTACACTGAGCTACAACCCCAGCCCACACATCTCCTTCTTTATTGCCTGCCTTTCCCCGAAGAACACTGAATCCAAGGGAGTGGGCGCTTTCCTGTGTCCACCACTGCATCCTGGGTACTGTGAATGGAGCTTGCACATAGTAGGGGCTCAATAAACAAGTGCTGAACAAATGAATGTAGTGTGCCCTTGGGCAAGCTGCTTTTCACACTGTGTGCTTCACCCAGAAAATGCAATTAATTAATTTAATTAATTAAATGCATCGACTTCCTGGGGCTGCTCCAGAGATTACATATGAATAAAACAAAGAATTTAAACTAATAATGGGCACACAAGCATTCACTTCCACCCAGCATCATTATCACTTCCTGAGGAGTCAGGACTTGTCTACTCCTCTCTACTGAAGCCTTGGGCCTTGCGTTAGTCCTCTGGGAGTTGCCCTTACCTTCGGGGCGTGCCATCCTCGAAAGGTGGGATGATGACAACCTTCACGGTGACAGAGGTGCGCAGCAGGTCAATCATCTGGTCGTGGGTCAGTGTGACCACAGCCACCTTGCAGATCTCTACTAGCCGGCTGCCTTGCCGGAGGCCGGCCTGCCAGGCAAACCCATAGTCCTCCACCTCAGCCACTGTCCCATCGTACTTCACATGGAAGCCCAGCTGCCCAAGCCCATTCCGCCGCAGGGTCATGTCCACCGTCTCCCAGCCATTGGTCATCACCTGTGGGCAACAGGCAGGACTGAGTCTCAACAGTTTGAGTTATTTCCCCTTTGAGATGAAAGGCCAGCCTACCATCCCAGGTGACACCAGGGCACCAACTGAGCCAGGTAAGCATCCTCCCACCTAGTGCCTGGTTTCTGGAAGGAGATGTGGATGTGCTACGCTGTGCCTTATCACCTCATGGACAGAGTAGTCTTGTGCTGTGTTTGCCAATGTCCCCACCTCTCTCAGGCTTCCTGTGTGGTGAGACTATACCTCTTGGCCACTGTGGTCAGGTGGGTGAGCTGTGGGTAGAATGGACATGTGCTCGGGGTGGGGTGTTTTTTCCCTCAGTGTGAGCCCCTGAACAGGTCTTTTGCCTCTGCAACAGAGACCAGTAAGATTCTAGAGGGTAGTGGCTCTCTGGGAGCTGGGGTCCCAGTGTGGGAATAATGTGGAGCTGAGCCCCCAGCCAAATCCAGGATGGACATGTAGTATGAGTAAGAAATAAACCTTTGTTCTTTTTTTTTTTTTTAAATATTTTTTTAGTTGTAGATGGACACACAATATCTTTATTTATTTTTATGTGGTGCTGAGGATCGAACCCAGTGCCTCACACATGCCAGGCAGATGCTTTACCACTGAGCTACAGCCCCAGCCCCAGCCCCAGCCCCAGCCCTTTGTTCTTTAAAGCCACTAGTGTCACATCCTGACTGATGCAAAGATCCTACCCGATGTGGGAGAAGCAACAGACCTGCCACATGGGGACCTTTTCTAGCTCGGGGGCTCACATCATATTCTTCTACTTTGTGATTATCACTAGACCACACAGGGTCTCACCTCCAATCACTCCCTGTTTCGCTTGAGTCGAGATTCCCCATGACACCTGTGAAGGTCAGACAGGAGACCCTGCTGAACAGAGCCCGAGGCCCTCTGTGCGCCATTAACGGCTCCCTCCTTTTCTTGGAATACAAAAAGATGAACTTCAGAAGCTACTGCTATTAAGCAAATTCTATCAAGATCAGCCTGCCCTCTCCTAAAATTACATTATAGAAAGTGAACAGGTAATGGTTCAGATTTCCCACGAGAAGCCACTGCCTGGCTAGAGATCATGCTATTTAATGTAGGTATTAGAGTGCTGGCTTTCACACCCTGCTAACTACCACTCGAGATTCTTCTATGTCACAAAATACTCTATACATTCATTTTTTTTTATACACGTCCAGACACAAATATTTCTTGCAATCCAAATTGATTACATTCTTTTTTTTAAAAAAAAATTTCATTGATCATATTATTATTATTTTTTTGATCACTTTCTTGAGTGTGGATAATAAGAGGAGTCTGGGTGGCAACAGATTCACCTGAAAATGTCACCAAATCTGTTTAGGTCCTGATTTACATAGTGAGAATTTGGAAAGTGATAGACTTATGTATGACCATGCCTCACAAAATAGTATTTATTTTTGCTCATGGTGCCAGAATAGAACCCATAGCTTCTCGGATGCCTGGTAAGCGCCATACCATTGAGCAACACATCCAGATCATACTTTGATGCATTTTATTCTTTCCTATCCTATTACTATAAGCCACATGGATGCCCTTATAAGAGAGGCCCAAGAGGGTACCATTTGTGAAAGAGAATGGCCCTCACCAGAATCCAAACCTGTTAGCGCCTTGATCTTGGGTCTCCCCAGCCTCCAGAAGTGTGAGAAGTAAATTCCTGTCTTTTACACATCCAGTCTAAGGTCTTTTGTTAAAGCAGACTAACGGTACTAAGACAACTATCTTTTACAACTGTTCATCAAGACTCATGAATTAACTTCATAGCCCATTCAAGGGTGGCAATCTCTTTGACAATAAAGATTTTTTCAAGTGTGATAATAACAAAGTTGTTATTTTTAAAGTCGATATTTTAGAAATAAATATTTAAACATTTAATGATGATATGGTATTCAAGATCTATTTCAAAATAACCAGGGGGTAGAGAGAGAAAGAAGAAATAGGGAGTAAGTGTGGAGCTGGTACTGGGGATGGGTGTCATGAGGTCCTATCTCAACATATGTCATATGTCATACTTTCATGTATGTTTGAAACGTTCCATGATTAAAAGGTAAAACTGGTTTGAAAACAAAGCTGAATGCTGCGTATCTCAAAAGAGAAAGCTGTCCCCAGAGTTATCCTAGCCCACTGCTTCTGCTTTGAGAGTCAAAATCTTTGAAGCAGTCATTCCGTGTCCAAACAGTTTGGCTGTGGGCTATAAAAAGTTCTGTGTGTCCATGCCCAAGACCAGTTAGGCCACGCCCATCCGCAGAGGCCCCAGCTGTTCATGGAGAAGGTCCCAATTTCCAGAGAGGCCCAGAGTCAGCGTAGGCAACAGCTGGCACACACAGCCGTGGCTGGGACTGTCAAATGTCGTCCCCTCTTGTTCTCCTCTCTTCTCTTCCTTTAGGGAAAAAGACCCCACCACAAAATAGTTTCAAAAAAAATTTTTTTAATTGTCTGTGGTACTTGGATTGAACCCAGGAGCATTCTACCTCTGAGCTACCTCCACAATCCTTTTTATTTTGAGACAGGGTCTTGCTCAATTGCTCAGATTGGCTGGATGTAGTGGCGCACACCTGTAATCCCAGTGACTTGGGAGACTGAGGCAGGAGGATTGCAAGTTCAAGGCCAGCCTCAGCAATTTAGTGAGACGCTAAGCAACTTAGTGAGGTCCTGTCTCAAAAAAATGAAAAAAAAAAAAAAAAAATCAAAAAAGTCTGGGGACATAGTTCAGTGGTAAAGTGCTCCTGGGTTCAAACCCCAGAACCAAAACAAAAACCAAAATCAAAAAATAAATTGCTCAGGCTGGCCTTGAACTTCTGACCCTCCTGCCTCAATCTCCTGAGTTGCTGAGATTACTGGTCTGCAGCACCATTCCTGGCAGCAAAATAGTTTTTTAATCTTTATCTTTTTGGTACTGGCGATTGAATTCAGGGGCACTTCACCGCTAAACTACACCTCCAGTTCTTTTAATTTTTTATTTTAAGAGAGGTTCTTGCTAAATTGGTAAGCTTGGCCTTGAAGTTGCAATCCTCCTGTGCCTTCTTAGTCACTGGGATTGCAGGAGTGTGCCACTGCACCTGGTCTGGAAAACAGTTTTGATGGTCACTTGGATACCTTGTTGAGGACTACATTTCTCAGCTTCCCTTATGGCTGGGGAGGGACACAGGACTCAGTTTTGGCCAAACAGATCTGAAATAACAGAATGTCTACCTTGGGTGGGTTAGCTATTTATTTATTTTAAATATTTACTTTTTAGTTGTAGTTGGACCCAATACCTTTATTTTATTCACTTATTTTTTATGTGGTGCTGAGGATGGAACCCAGGGCCTCGAATGTGCTAGGCAAGCGCTCCACCACTGAGCCACAACCCCAGCCCCCCTATTTATTTATTTAAACTGAATTGGAGTTTCACTAGTTGCCCAAGTTAGCCTTGGAGTCTCACTCCTGCCCTCCCACAATCCTCCTGCCTCGGCATCCCTGGCTGGACTACAGGTCAGCACCTGGCATACCTTGGGTTATTAAAAACAAAACTGCCTGCCCTCCACACTTATGTCCTCTCCCTTCCTGTAGAGAGAAACATGGATATGGGGTGACTTGGCATTGACTGAGCAGATAAGAATACATCTCTCCATCATTATGAGGAAAAGGAGGAGGCATAAGATGAAGGCATGTTCCTTTTTTTTTTAATGTCTTATTTTTAGTTGTAGTTGGACACAATAACTTTATTTTATTTGTATGTGGTGCTGAAAATCCAACCCAGGGCCTTGCACATGCTAGACAAGCGCTCTACCGCTGAGCCACAACTCCGGCCCTGGCGCGTTCCTTTTAACATGTGAATCAGTTAAGATGCAGAAAAACACCTCATATTTGGGATCACCCAATGGGAAGATATGTCTAGTAAGTGAGTCCCATAGCTGTGTGATTTGCGACAATTGTGTGATTTGTGACAATTTTAACACTATTATGACAGCAACTGTTCTACCACAAGCCAGGCTGTTTGATAGTGCTCTTTGAAGCACTTTCCTAAACTGAAATTCCTTGACTGCTCTCTTTCCAGCTGTGTGATCGTAAACTCTCTGTGCCTCAGTTTCCTCATCTGTAATATGGATACAATAATAATAATACTTCACAGGGTTAATCATTCAATAAATTAGTATATGTTAAAAAAAAAAAAAAAAAAAGGCGTGTGAGCCTCTGAGCTGTCCCCGCCAGCCCTGACTATCCAGAGCTCTTGCTAGAAGAGAAACAAGCTTCTACCCTGTTTCAGTGTCTGCTTCAGCAGCCCAGCCTGTGAGCACCTACTGCACTGCTTTGGGTCATTCTTCATGAGCAAGGGGGAGCTGCTTTGGCTTAGCATCCTGAACCTTCTGTCTCCTTTGCTTTTGTAGCAAATCCAAGGAAGCCCACAGGAAGAAGAGAGAGATTAGATTCCTGGTGTTTATGACGTTCTTAAAAGATCACAGGGCACAGGGAACAGCTTACGACACCCAACCCACATGCTAATTTGAAGAAACTTCTGCTGGGTCCTGCAGTCACCCTGCTCTGCTCCAGTCCCCCACTGAAGTTCTTTTTTCTGGGTGCTGATTTGTGTGCCAGGCACTGGGTTAAGCCCCTTTTCTGCCTGATGTAACTGATGTCTCACTTCTGACGTAGGGACAGTTATTTTGCCTACTTGACAGAGGAGGAAACCCAGGGTGATGCCAGCTGCAGCTTCTTGCCTTTGGCTGTGACCCAGCATCCCCTGTGCTGTGCTGTTCACCCTCTACATCTCCTTTATTTATTGCATTAATTGCAATTATTTAAAAACTCCCTTGTTCTTTATCAGGATAATTATTTTTTTTTAAAGTTCTTCTAGTTGTTGATAGACCTTTATTTTATTTCTTTATAAGTGGTGCTGAGAACTAGTGCCTCACACATGCCAGGCAAGTGCGCTACCGCTGAGCCCTAGCCCTAGCTCCAGGATAATTCTTATTTATTGTTCTAGTCTCAGTTTAAAAGCCATTTCCTCAGAGCAGCCCTCTGCGTCCCCCTGGTCTGGTTCACAAGCTTGGTGCTTGGGGGTAATGTCATCAAGGAGTGCATGCGGTGGGAGTCAGGGCCAAATGACACTTGTGTCCCATTTGAGGAGGCAGCCACTATCCCACTTCAGTTGATTCTGCCCTTGCAAATGTGGGCCTAGTGTAGCCAGACCCCCAGATTTTCAAGAGAAGCCAGAAAATCAGATTCATATGGAATCCTCTAGCTGTTCAGCTTGGGCCATGTGTCATGGCACACACCCGTAATCTGAGAGACTCAGGAGACTCAAGCAGGAGGATCACCCGTTCAAGGCCAGCCTCAGCACCTAGTGTGGCCCTGTCTCAAAGAGTGAAAAGGGCCAGGGATGGAGCTCAGTGGTAGAGCACCCCTGGATAAATTCCCCAGTACAACAGCAGCAGCAGCAGCTTTGATAACCAAGTACGCCTGGAGCTGTCGCCAACCTGTGGACTGGAGACCTCCTTGTCTGGCTCAGGTCCCTGTGGTAGGTTCCCATGATGTTCTCAACACCTTCCTTTTACCCTCTTGGCATTTGCCATTGCTTATTCAACATGTGTCCAGAGCGGGAGTCCCATGAAGGCAGGCCTGGCCCCGTTACGGTCACTGCTGTTGTGTCCCAGCACCGCCTGGCCAGGGCCAGCACAAAATAAAACTTGTGCAATAACAAAGGAAGGGATGCAGCTTGTTCAGAATTTCTGGGTGGTGGAGTTGCTGTGCCCGCACCTCAATCCTAGCTGTGCCAGGGGAGGATGTGGACAGCTCACCCTGCGGACATCACACAGGACAGGGTCACTGCCATGGGAATTTAAGATGGCCTGCCCCTTTGCAGGAGAAGGTCCTCATCATGTTTCCTTGGCAGGTTTGGGTGCTGAGACCAGGAATGTGGGATGGTTGTAGAAATGTGCTCCAAAAAGGCTGCACGACAGTAGGGCGGGCATGGGCAGAGTGGAACTGGGAGGAGATGTGAAACATGTAACCTGGCACGGGGCCTACCACGGTCCCTGATCAAGGCACTCGAGCTGCTGTTAGGATCTAGGGAGAAGGAATTGCCTAATGGCTCAGGCTCTTCACTTGCTTTGGGGCCTGAGCATGTTCATTCACCTCTCTGGGCCTCAGTTTCCTCATCTGTGACATGGGGATAATGGTATCTATCCTGTCTAGTTTGTGAGGAAGAAATGGTTCAGATGTGGTGTCCCTCAAAAGCTCATGTGTGAGACAATGCAAGAAGGTCTGGAGGAGAAATGATTGGTCATGGCCTTGACCTAATCAGTGAACTAATCCCTGATGGCATTAACTGAGTGGTAGCTTGTGGAAGACCAACCTTGCACTTGACTAAGTCACACTCCCCGGCTGGGTGCTGAGGCACTCAGTCACAGAAATGTGGCAGAGCTTTCCCCACCCTTCTTGGGTGCGAGGGTCGGTGTCTCTTGCATGGCTGTGTCTTGCTACAGCCCCATGGGTGAAGCTATGCTCACCTGTTCCTTTGTAATATAACCCCTCGCCCTGTTTAGGATAGAATGTTCCATGGAAGTGCCTTGTGTGTTCCTATCCAGGTGTCAGTCAACCTGCTGACAGTGGACATCATGAAGACAGACTCAGCCCCCTGAAACTGACCCCTTGGCTCATTTGAATAGCTTCTCCTCAATAAAAGGGGTCAGCGTGTGCTCTCGCTCTCTCTTCCTGAAGACCCTTAAGGTCAGAGGAACCATCACAGCGACCTCAAAGAAAAAGGTATTGAGTCTCTTGTGTGGTTATTTTGCGCAGCCCAGTCAGCCCAGTTCAACTAGAGTGACCCCTGAGCCTTTTAGTCGTGAGAAGAGAAACCTGGCAGTAACTGGAGGCAGGAGAGATGTGGCTAAAGGAAGTCGTTCATTGAGGGCCATGGCTTTGGGGTACACATTTGTATGTGGCAGGTGGAGACCTCTCTCTCTGCTTTCTGATGCTTCCTTCCACCACACTCTTCCGCCATGATGTTCTGTCTCACCTCAAGCCCTGAGGAATGGAGCCAGCCTTCTATGGATTAAGACCTCTAAAACCAGAAGCTCTCAAATAAATTTTTCCTTCTCTACTGTTGTTCTGGTTGGGTCTTTAAGTCACAGCAGCAAAATAGCTGACTAAGCAAAAGGCATGGCCACATACAGGGCTGAGCGAGTGACACACAGGGAGGGGGTCCTTCATGAGTGCTGCCTAATGCTGTTACTAGGACGGCCCGTGTCCATATAGCATGTAGCTCCCCTTACTAAGTGTCTCCGTGTACGAGATGCTGGCCTGGGCACAGAGGACACAGCAGTGAACGGAGAATATGGAAGTCCCGTGTCCAGAGGCGGAGAGGCAGGCGGAGCGGATGGCCACGCCCTCTGGGCCAAGTCAGGAAGGGGGTCTGCAATCTTCAGACAATGAGACCTTTAGTGACACCTGACCAAAGGCCTGTAGGAAGGCAGGGAGTGAGCCACAGGGGTATGTATGGAGGGAAGTGTTCCAGTGAGGGGCTGTGGGCAGTACAAAGGTCCCGAGGCAGGACACTTGCCCAGCACATTTGGGAAACAGCAAAGGTCTGTGTGGCTGGGCGGAGAGTGATGGGGGAGGACGTCAGAGGAGTCAGCAGGGAGCTGAGCACATGGGGCCTCATGGGTCAGTGTAAGGACTTTGCCTTTTAGCAAGAGGGGGCTGAGGGTTTGGAGCACAGAAGTGACGTGACCGGATCCCTCCGACATCCACACTGCCAACAGATACAGGGAAGGATAGGTGGAGGCAAGAGACCAGCATGGAGATGGCCTCGACCATCCAGGAGACACGGCAGCTGGGCTGGGTGCAGGCTGCGGCGGGGAGGGCGACAGGCTGTGAGGGTGTGGGTTAGAGAGGAGCCAGGCTGATGTCGAGATTTTGACCTCAGCAAACAGAAGGACGGACTTATCCTTTACTGCGATAGGGAAACCCAGAGGGTGGGAGGGACACCAGTTTGCTCTCAGCCATGCTGTTTCAGGGGTTCTTGGCCCACTGGAGGCGCCGAGGAAGCAGACAGAGAGCAGTATTGAGTTTGTGCACAAGTAGGTTTTAGAGGCAGAGAGACTGGATTTAGATTCCAGTTCTGCCACCTACTGGCTGTAGGATCTCATATGAGTATCAATACCTTCCTGTGCCTAGTTTCCACAACTACCAAGAGGGGACAAAACAGGACCTACACTTGGAGGGTGTGTGTCAAGATTATGTGACATTTGCACGTAGAATAATACAGAGAAAACGTTCAAAAAACTCCTCCAATTGACCAACCACTACTCTGTGTTTACTGAACACCTACTATGTGCCAGTCCTAGTTTAAGCATGTGAGACCAGCAAGTGGGCAAAGAGACAGTGACCTCAGTGCCCAGACTTACCTCCTAATGGGGAAATCTAAACACCAACTGTTATTTCCTATGAAGCAGTGTGAATTGTGAGGTCAGGGAGCTGTGAGCAGGGCTCATCAATCTAACCTGAACATAATGGGAATGCAAAGGCCTAGAAAGGTGAGGTCAGCCACAAGTCACAGTGGCACCGGAGGTCCCTGCCACCAAGTCAGGCAAGTTTGGGCAACAGAGCTCATCCACTTGATACAGGTAATTCTCAGTCCCATTTTTCAGTTAGGGAAACTGAATCATACAGAGGTTAAGTACCTCACTGGAGGTCACACTGCTGGAAAGGTGACAACGCCAGGACTTGGAGCCAGGCCTTTGAACTCTAGAACCTGTGCTCCTAGCTGCTGTGTATGCTGTCCTCTAGCTTCAGCTTGCCTGACTCGCCACTCTGTCACACCTGCATGGGGTAACTGCCGCGGGACCCACAGTGGACCTTCTTTCTGAGCACTTCTTGGCACAGAGCTTCAGGCAGCCACTTCCAGCTGGGTACTAACTCATTGCCACTCTGGCTGTGGCCAATGGTCTGAGACTGAGATTCCCACCAGGAGAGCGGGACTAAGGTTTTTAGTCTTTGTTTTATTTTTTTGAAGGTGCCTGGGGCTCAAACCCAGAGCCTGTCGTGGAGTGCTCTACCTCGGAGCTACACCACAGCCCCACTTGCTTTTTTTTTTTTTGCATCTTTGACGTAAGCTTCAACTTATATTTTTCCATCAACTCCTAGGGTTAATGAGTATGCCTTTTGTTTTTCCAAGGTGACGACGGCGCGGAAAGCCTCAAATCCCTGGCCCAAACCTTCCCCATGAAGAAGCTGGGCTGCGGGACCCACCAGATCCAGTGTGTAAGTGACAATTCTGGTGCTCCCAGGGCCGATTCACATCAGCCTGACTGAACTGGGAGAGGAAAAGTGTTTCAGGGGTTCCCGAGGCCTCTGCCAGCCACACGACACATGCCAGCCACTGCTCAGCCCTCTCTTACCTTCAGCCTCTGGACGATTTCCCTTATGTCCTCCACAGAGCCCTCTGTGGACTGGACGAAGATGTGGTCTCCTCGGCCATAGAAGATTTTCAGTGTTGAGGCGTCCGGGGTCCACCCAATGACATCCCCGCAGTAGCAGTTGAACACCACCTCCTTAGTGCGAAGGTCCAGGAGCACCACAAACTCATTGGAAATTCCCAAAATGCAGTCGATTTCCACCCCCTGGGCAAAGTCCTGAGCTGCAACCCGCCAGGCGATAGCTCCCGCACTGTGCTGCTCGGCGCCTGCCCGGGCCTTCGTCTTCTCCTTCTTCTTGGAGGTCAGGGAGATGAGGTTGAACTTGCCGGTGGAGTCGATGGGTGTGTTGGAGACACAGTTTTCAGCCAGGTCCTTGAGGTACTCCTGGCGGGTCCTGGTGGCCATGGTGTGGAACTTGTCGGACTTGTGGGCAGCGTTCTCAGCATTAATCACCTTGGCCAGCAAGAAGTCTCTGAAAACGTCAGATTTGCGGAATGTGGTTCCACTGGGGATGGGGGGACCGAAAGGAGGAGCGTCTTTGGATCGGGTCACAGCCATGCTGGGGAGGAAGAAATCATTTAGATATGGAAAGGAAAGCACTAAGACTGTCTTTAGAAAGAAAATATATGATAAAAAATAAAAAAAATAGGAGTTTCCTTCTTATGAAGTCAGTATCTAATTAATAGATTAGAAACTTAAAGACATGTCTTAGGCCCATACATACATTTTTACTGTTGATATAGTATGCGTTTGAACATCTACCAAGACTGAAGGACGGTTTCACAGTTATATTTGTTTTATATACATATAAACTGTATATTTGTTTTATATGCATATAAACTGAAGTTTGGAATAAAATTCTTTCCATCCTCTCCACCTTTTCAAGAGGAAATGCCCACCCCTCCACCCCCATCCTCGGCCTGGGCATGTGACCTGATTTAGTCAATGGCTTTCAAAAAAGGCTTGAACTGTGTGTGGGGGTCAGGGGAGAAGCTACCATCCTGTGCTCCTGCCATTGCCACAGGATAGATAGCCCCCAGCCAGCCTATTGGTCTCAGAAGGAGAGGAAGACCTGGGGCCGGCCTGGAGCCAAGTCCAGTCAGATCCAAACTGAGCTGCAAGTGCATGAGCCAAAAAGAGATGGTCGGAGCTGCGGAGTTGCAGGGTGGGTGGGTACCCAGGCTCACTGTAGAGCAGCTGACCGATACGGAACATTTATGTGATTTGGTTCTTTTAAACACTTGTGTCACACTAGTATAATTTATAAACCATCTCAACAAAGGTTATTTTGAAAATTGACTGTAACAGTAAGTTACAATGGGACTCTTTCTTCTCTAGCATTTTTTTCTGGGGGGTTCTGGGGATGGAACCAGGGCTTCACGCATGCTGAGCACATGCTCTACCATTAAGCCACACCCCTCGGCCTCTTCTTTGGTTTTGACAGAGATGCCGTTGTGATAGAAGTCAGATAGCAACTTGGGAAATGATCTAAAAACCTGCTCACCAAAACTCTTGATCCCCATCACCCACTATGCTAATCACAGAGACGGGGAGGAAACCTGGAGACAGGGCTGGAGGCGAGGCCCATTCTCTCCTCACCAGGGCCCCAGGTAGGGGCCTCCAAGCTGCCGCAACAGTGGGGAGGAGACTGAGGTCGCCTCCTGCCTGTAAGACCTCAAGGGTGTGCCGAGGTTGGCAGGGATTAAGGACAGGGTGGAGAAACAGGGACCAGCCAGGCTCCCCAGGTGGAAGTGGCCCTCAGCTGGGAGCAGGGAGAGATTTGTTCAGAGTCAAGTTTAGAGATTTGATGAATATCTTGGATGTGACATTCTAGTGATTAAATGGAATTAATCCTCAGCGGTTTGTGGGTAGACAATTTCTAAAAGTCAGCAGAAAGGTCAAGGCATCTGCCAGAGTCTTCATGTGAGGGAGGTGGCTCTCATATACAGTGACAGGAGCTGATAGAAGGGAACAAGTGATGAGTTAATTAAGTTTTCCTTAAAGTACAACATGCATTAGATTTGTCCTCTATAGATGCCTCAGTTTGTGGGTACTAAGTTCCTATTCTCCTCTTCCTCCTTAGGATACTTTTTCAATAAAGGGATTATAGACTGGAAAACATTCCATGCAAACCAAACACGATGTAATGCTTATTCAGATTTGGCTAATTCCCTGTCCCCTGCCCTCGGCACTGGGACGGTGCAATGTGCAACCGTCTGTCTGACGAGTGCTTTCTGGATGCCCCTCTGTTGGGTGCTGGGAATGCAGTGGTTCCTGCCTTCCCAGAGCTTTAACTTTAGGAGGAGAAACATACTAACCAAGCACATACACGAACTTATACAAAGGAAGTTTACCACGACAGAACAGAAGTACCTGATTTGGACAGGGGGGGATTCTGGGAAGGCTTTTCTGAGAAAGTGACAAGCTGAGGGCTGCCAACAGAGGGCATGGTATGTGCTGCGACTGGGTAGGAAAGGGCACATAAAGGGTGGAATGAGCCTGAGGGGGTCAGAGCCCAGACAGCAAGGAGGAGGAGGCTGGGAAGGTCACCAGGGGCTGGACCACACGGGGCCCTGGTGGTGTGTCTCACTTTCCATCTGCCCTGCTCTGGAAGGAAGATGTTTAAAGTGTGCATCTCCTGGTTTCCCCTGACCTCTGGTTTCTAACTGAGCTTGGCCAATGTAGGAGATGGGAAGGTGGAGGAGAGGTTGGAGTACAGCCACATACCACGTCATGACATCTGGGGCAATGAGGGGCCACACATGATGGCAGCCCCATAAAACTGTACTGCCCAGCTATGTGCATGTACAAATATGGCACGGCAAATCCCACTGTTATGTGTAATTATGATGTCCAATAAAAATTTAGAGAGGACACACACACACAAAGATGATATGGCCTGTGACATCATGGCCACCTCAATTTGGGTAAGACATCCTACCTACCATGTCTGCATAATGAGAAATCAGTCAACGATGCATTTCCCTTATATAAAGGACCCTTTCCTACAGCCACAGCTCTTACCAGCTTCCAGAAACTTCTGTCATCCTCATCAAGCCTGGGAGGTAGGGTAATGGCTCCGGGATGTTGCTTGTTCCAGGAAGCCTCCCCTTCCCACAGTGATTCCCCTAACCCACCCACACTTCTGTTATGTGTTCACGAATTTCTTTCACCTAAATTCCTGAAGATGGGGTCAGGGGGTAAAGGGTGCCTCTGCTTCTTGCGAGATCCCTGCTGGATGCAGGTGCTGGCCAATTATGACAACAGGCTGGCGACCTGCAAAGATCACTGTGACTGCCTCACGGAGAACAGAACAAGTGCAGGAGGCCCGCAAAGACGCAACCACAGAGCTGAGTGTGGTGGTGCACACCTGTGACCCCAGCTACTCAGGAGGCTGAGGCAGGAAGATCTCAAGTTCAAGGATAACCAGTACAACTTAGTGAGATCCCGTCTCAAAATAAGAAGGGCTAGTAGTAGAGCACTTATTTGGCATGTAAAAGGCCCTGGGATTAATCTCCAGCCTGCCCCCCCCAAAAAAAAATAAAATAAAATAAAAAGACAGACAGACAGACAGACAGACAGACACACACACACACACTAGAGCGCAAAAGCTAGAATGAGAGACTGCACACTTGCCACTGCTTGACCCTGGCAGATTAGCCAACGCCCTGGCTCTCTACCTCCAGTGCTCACTGGTGTCCCTTTGTACTCTAGGAGTGTCGCATGGGCAGGTACCACCCTGGACTTAGCATATTAACTAGCACCAGTGCAGGTGCTTGATATTTTCATGTAATAACTGAGACTTGTACAGACAGAGAAGAAAAAGATCTCTCCCAATGTGGAGTGGTGTGCGCTCAATGTTTCCTGAAAATGACCTTTACCGGTGCACATGTTCTTCAAAGGCCATGCAAACCAGGCAGGCCTTCCTCTGTGAGAACTTTTGTGGGCATGAACTTGCCCCCAGGCCAGGGGATGGATGAGCCGACCGAATTTGCCAATCCCCCGACCCTGCCAATCCCTCGTGTCAAGTCCGTGATGTGGTCTAATTGTGCTTCACAGATGGGAAGAGCTTTGCAGCTTCATTCAGCACTTGGCTGCTTAGTGACAGATTTTGGCTTTTCTCATAGTCCCAATTCACAATTTTAAGAATTGTGAAACTGCAGCTGTTGAAGGTTTCTGGACAGCCAGAATGGCCTGGTCCCTCGCTTTCCAGCAGAGGGACAGGGCTATTTACACTCCACAGGGTGCAGGCAAGAAGCAAGAGTGCCACTCAGCAACAGCACACTTGAAATATGAAAGGGAACAAACTCATCACAAGATCAGGAGATGGTGGGACCACCAGGCTGCCTGATCCCTGCAGCTCAGCAAGTATTTCTAGAACATTCACCGTGACTTTTTTTTGGTACTAGGAATACCAAAAAAAATATACATGAAAAAAATTATCTATCTATCTATCTATCTATCTATCTATCTATCTATCTATCTCTGAATGTCCTGAGCTCAGGACATTCAGCCACTGAGCCATATCCCCAACTCTTTCATTTAATTCTGAAACAGGGTCTCACTAAGTTGCTGAGACTGGCCTCGAAGTTGTGATTCTCCTGCCTCAGCATCCCTAGTCACTGAGATTACAGGTGTGTGCCACTGCACCCAGTCACCTCAGTGACTGAGCCAGACATTAATCTAGCCAGCCCTTTGGGGTCTACTGTGTGCTAAGTGCCATGTCATGATAGGTACAGGAAGGTAAATATGTCATGGGTTATTTTGGAGGGAGGCAGGAGCCACATCAGTTGTTTTTATGCTGTGACAAGTGCTGTTGTAGAAACATGTCTGGCAAGAGCATAGAGTGGGCAGCACCCACTGGAGGGTGGCAGAGGTGTGTATGGTGGAGTCTTGAAGGACAACCAGGAATTGCATGAAGGGGGAGGCGGGGTGGAGAGGGCAGAGGGCAGGTCAGGCTGGTGCCCCAGGCTCCCTCCCACAGGGGAGACACAGGCTCCGGGAGGGGCAGCTTTGGCTGTATCTTAACAGCTTCTTTCTTTAAAAATAAAGAAGAGGGAGAGATGAAACAAATTAAGGCAAAATGTTAACATCTGTTAAATCTGGTGGTGGGCACATGGAACATTATTTTCTGCACTTTTCAGAATGTTTAAAATATTACATAATAAATCTTTTTTTTTTTTTTAAAGTGCTGGGGGGTGGAACCCAGGGCTTTGTGTGTGCTAGGCAAGTGCTCTACCCTTGAGTTACATCCCAGGCCCTAATAAAAATATTTTAAAGTAAGTTAAAAAGAAAGAAAGAAAGAAACGTTTGTGCAACAGATAGAAGTCACCTGGAAATGAGCAGAGGCTGGCCTGAAGACACGGGAGGTGGGGGGACAGGTGACTGGGAGAAGCCAGGAAGGAGGGAGGCAGAGTGGGGAGGAGGGGAGAAGGGGAGAAGGGCCACCAGACCAAGCTAATCACCATCTCTGATGCACAAGGCTGCCTCCTCCGTGTGTGGTCCTCTCCTATCTCCCCTTACTGGGGCTACCTCTCAGCTAACTAGCACAATAATACCTCTAAACCCTGGCATCATCCACCTGACCTCTGCTGCACGCAGAACCCAAGGTGCTGGTGCTCTGTGGCTGCTGTTGTACATCCTGGGAACAGATGAACTGGGAGAGAGGAAATTTCAGGCCTTGGATGTCCTAGTTAGGTGGCCCTGCCACACAGCGTGTTGGCTCCCAGCAGCCACTGGGCAGCACACCCAGCAGTCGTTCTCATCAATGAGCCAAGCACACAGGCATGCCCAGTTCACAAAAGAAACTGGTAAATTCTGGTGATTGCACCAAGACTATCAGTGCACATGTGCACACACCCGTGACCCAGCACTTCCATTTTAGGAGTTTATCCTGCAGCTGCACACTTGGTCACAGGTGCAACAGGTGAAGAAACAACTGCAGGCGCCAGGAAGCAACCCCAGCGCCCGTCAACAGACAGTGCGTCCATGCGATGGGATGTTCCGCATCATGAAGGAGAAGACACACTTTACTGGTATGGAAAGAGCTCAAAGATGTTGGGTTAAAAAAAAAGACAGGACATGAAGCAGTGTGCACAGCCTGCTTCCATTTATGTTTAAAAGGTGGAAAAGAAATTTACATGTATTTGCTGTGTGCGTGAAGCATCAGGAGACCCAAGCGGGGGCTCACCTGGCCACCTCTGTGCAGGGGATGGGTTGACTGGGACACTGTTATCTGCACATCCTCTTGCATCTTTTAAATTTGAAATCACTCTCAAAAAATGGCAAGTAGCACACCTTGCCCTGTTCCAAGTCTCCCAGGCCACGCTGACAGCTTGGGCCTGGTTACTGAGTGCATGGTTTCCAAGGACCACAGCTGCCCTCCTGTCCACTCCCTGAGGGCACTGGTGCCAAGGAGGACACAGAACAAGGACATAGAATAGGTTTGAGGCCTGTGCTACCTGTCCATTTGTGAATTAAACCCCTCAACTCTACCGCCCAAGTGGCAACTACCTTTGTAGGGGTCAGCCTGCCCTGTCCCCATCCTTCTGTCCCCAGATTTTCCATTAGGCCATCATTCCTGGGCCTCTGTTCTTGCAGCCTGCTGCCCGGCCTGGTTGATCATTTGGCTCTAGGAAAGACGCCTGTCTCCAGCTAGGTCAGTGGCCTTCATTATGGGGCTTCTGCTCCACTCCTGAAAAGGAAGAGCTCTTGCTGCCAGACCTACAGCTGGGGGGTGCCGAGCTGAGAGCGGCCAGAGCAAGGATGCCGTGCGGGAGGTGCAATGCCCAGCTGGGCCTCCCCGCATCATTTTTAGAGCCAACACACACAACTGCCTCTTTGTGCTCAGCCAGGCCAAGTGGGTTTTCTGTCATCTGCAGCAAAAGATCCCAGGTCTCTGGAGATATGCCGTACCTCTGTGTGTGGCAGAGGTCAGGTGTAATCCCTGCTGGCTTCTTCATCAGAATTGTGGAGCATGCCCCTGGGGGCCGGAATCCTCTGAGGTGGTGTGGGAAGGTGGACAGAGCCCCAACTGGGCAGCTACCAAGCAGCACAGGAGGTGGCTGGCCTGGCCGGGCTGTCCACCCTCTCTGCGTGCTGCCTGCTGCTGGTGACTAGCCCCAGTGTTCAGTGGGCGTGGACAGTGGGGACGGTGGCACGTACCTGTAGCAGACATTATCCGTACAGGGGTTGTGGACGCGGACGATGATGAAGACATGCTGAAAGTGTGAGCGGATGTTCTTGGGGGTGAAAGGTAGTGCTCCAGGCTCCTGGAAGATGATCGTCACAATGTCGTTCCCTATGTGCCTCTTCCTCAGCAGCTGGTAAACAGGCATAGGAAGGGAGAAAGGAAACGTCACCGGCTGGATCAAGGGGTCCTGCCCGGACCATCACAGGAGTTCCTTGTTCCTGCTGCACCCGTGGCCGGTTCCCGCATGCAGCGAGAGGGAGCCTGTGAGCACCTGAATCAGGTCCTGTCCCTGTCCTGCTCAGAGGAGCATCGTTCACCCTCTTTTACTGATGAAAAAACAGGCTCACAAGGTTAAGTGACTTGTCCTATGTCACCCAACGATGGAGAGCGAGAACCAGAATTCCATCCACTGCTGTTGAACTCTACCAGTCAAGCTTTCCCCACTAGGTCCCCAGAGACCCGGGAGCAGGCACTGCCTGTCTCCTGTACCCTGCCTGGGCTGGCCCTTTCTCAAGGACCACGAGACATGGTGCTACCGCTCAGACCATTTGACACAGGAGGGACCAAGAAAGAAGACATCACTTACCAAGGTCATGCACAACTAGCAAGTGTCAAAGACAGAACTAAGGTCTAATTCCAAGACAAATGTTCTTTACAGTTAGGGTAACCTCGCAGTTAATGATACGTGACCACTTCTGGTCTGGAAAACCTATGATGTCACTTGTACCATCAGGGAAAAAATGCACATTTTCTAAATTCTCAGCACTCCGTGGGGCTTCTGTTCCCTAGAAATTAGGAATTTGCTTCCCAGGCGCAGTCCATGAGGTGTGTCCAGGAGAGGAGCTGGCAGCACTGGTGGCCTCCTGGCAGTTGGTGTCCGCTGTCGGTGCCCACCTGGTACCCTTTCTTCTCCCTTTAGTCACCCATTCCCTCCGGGAAGTCACCTGACCTCTGCCCTGTCTCAGGTTGAGCGGACCCCACCCACCCTCCAGGACGGGCACCTCGGGCTTGGCCTGTTGGCTCATTCCATCCCCATCCCAGGCCCAGAGCCTGGGCAGGTGAATGGTTTAGCGAGATTCAGCCCTGAAATGTTCCTGGGACAACTGGAAGGAACAAATCTCTTTCCTGTGGCATGGCTAAGAAGATAGGATAGAACTAGGGCTGCTAGGGGGCATCTTTGCCACTACTAGGGAAAATTCATGAATAAAGTCACTACAAAGAAAAGCAGGGGTGAGAAATGAGAGGATTCCTAAGACTCTCTGAGCCCTGGATTCAGCAATATGTAAAGCCAGCCTTCTCCCTCAGTTATATAACCCAGTAAGTCCCACTTTTTGTTCTTATGCCAGTTTGGTTTGAGTTGGCAGGAAAAACAATGCTAATTTGCTCTTCTTTCTCATGAGGCCAGTGATGACTCAAGAGACCCTGGAGGAGTGGGGATAGGTAGAAGCAGGCAGGGCAGCCAGGAACAGCAGAACTGGTGTCAACCAGACTTCACACCTGGCTTAGCCTCTAGCTCCCAGATGAAGTGACCATGAGACTGAGGGGCTCTGAGGCCAAGGGCCTCCCTCTGATTCACAGGATGGCCCCAGGAGAGCCAGTGCTGGGTGGGCAGCCAGCCAGTGGTCCCGGGCAGGGAGAATGCCCTGAACCCAACTGTGCACCAAATGGAAATACTGACCTGCTGCCTGTTGTTGGGGGTGTAAGGGAGTAGGGTAGAGACGTGGAACATGATCTCGTAGTCCTGGTACGTCGTGTAGAGGGAGTGGGTTCCCGTGGAGTCGGCTGGGACAGAAACATGAGTTAGTACCACACTTCCAAAGCCTCTGGGTTTTTGCCATATCCCACGTACCATCTGTGCTAGTTTTTAACTTGATGCTTTTACTTAAATCCATTCTTTAAAATAAATTAAAATAAAAAGGAAACCTCCCGCTATACACCCACCAGACTGATAGAAATTAAAAAGTCTGACAATACCAAGGGTTGGTGAGGATGTGGACAAACTGGAACCCTTGGTGTGGCAGGTTAGGTGTATAAATTGGTGCAACCATACTGGAAAACCTTTTGGCAATTTCTCTTAAACCTGATGGTAGGCTTAACTGACAGCCCAGAGCTTTGTCTCCTAGGACAGAGCTTTCAGCATTTAGGCACACATTCCCTTTGATGTGGGTACAAGAATCTTCAAACATCAGTCAAAAAGAATGGATCAACACACTGTGGTATATATATACTGTGGAAAAATATACAGCCAGGAAAAAGAACAAGGCACAGGTGCAACATGGGTGAAATCCTATGAGTATAAGATTGCGTGAGAAACACCAGACACAAAGGAACACACATTATGGTTCTGTTCATGGTTCCATGCAACAGCAGGCCAGACAAGTTATATTGTTTAGGGATGCATACAAAAGGAGCAAAGCTAAGGAAAGCAAGAAATGATTATCACGCGAGTCAGGATATTGGTTATCTCTAACAGGAGGGGGGGGTTATGATTGGGGAGAGGCATACCTGGTTACTGACCCCATGTTTCACAGGGGGAAACTGAGGCACAAAGAGGTCACACTGCAATGAGTGGTGGAGTCTGGATCAGAATTCAGGTTAGCTGACTCCAGATCTGATTTTTTTTTTTTCTTTTTGAGATGGGTCTTACTATTGCCCAGGCTGGTATTGAATTCCTCGCACTCATCGGGGCTCCCATCTCAGCCTCCCCAGTAGTTGGGTCTACATTCTGCACAACCACGCCTGGCATACGGTTTTGTTTTGCTTTTCCCCAGTGCTGGGGATGGAACCCAAGACCTGTGCCTGCCAGACAAGTGCTCTATCACTGAACTATAAACCCAGCCCCTCTAGAGCTATTTTTTTTTCCATTTTTAGTACTGAGGATTGAACCCAGAAGTACCCTACAACTCAGCCATATCCCCAACACTGCCTCCCCATTTTTTGAGATAGGGCCTCACTAAGTTGCTGAAGCTGGTCTCGAATTTTCAAACCTCTTTTCTTAGTCTCCCAAGCTGCTGGGATTACAGGTGTGTGCCGCTGCGCCAGGCCTCTAGGCCTCTCGATCTGTTTTTTTAAACAGCATCCTATGCTACCTCTTAATGTTAGATGGGGACACCAAAGTCACAGCTGACTAATGCCAGAGCCAGGCAACTTCCAAGTAGCTCCTCAAGTTAGGGGCATCCCTGCTTTCAGTGAGGGAGATTCTGCCCTGGGACACTATGCTTTCTGGGGTTCTCTGAGAACACCTGCTTGTCACATTTACCTCTCGCCATGCCCCTAAGGTAAGTGCAACTATTACCCTTGCTCTGCAGATGAGGAAGCAAAGCCAACTGGCCCAAAGACCACAAAAGCAGCAAATGACACTACGTATGCTTATTCCTATGGCCTCCTTCGGTGCAGGTGAAGGGATAATGACAGCCACATGTGCTGGCTAATATTTTATTTAGCTTTCCCAGACTGATCTCCTGACCCGGGCCTCCATTTTCCAGTTGAGCAAACTGAGGCTTGGGGCGGTGTGGGGGAGAACAAGTGATTCAGGCATTCTGGGGCTTTTTCTTTCTTTCTTTTTGGTGCTGGGGATTGAACCCGTGGGTGCTTAACCACTGAGCCACATCCCCAGCCCCCCCCCCCTTTTTTTTATTTTTAGACAGGGTCTTGCCAAGTTACTTAGGGTCTTGCTAAAGTGCTGAGGCTGCCCTTGAACTTGCGATCCTCCTGAACTCAGCCTCCCAAACCTCTGGGACTCCAGACGTGTGCCACCACTCCTGGCTCATCCTGGGGCTTTCTGACTTCCAGCCTGAGCCACTAACCCACTGACAGCCCACCCCTCAGGACAATTTCCATTTCCCAGGAAACTCTGACACCCATGAATGTCATCCATCCCTGTTCCCAAACCACTCATCATGAAGCGTTTCATTCCTGCACATCAGATGCATTCCCGTGTGCACATGCATCTGTGCAGAGAGAAGGCCACCAACCCTCTACCATGAGCACCGTCTTCCGGTCATATCCACCTGCTCCTCGCAGAGCTGCCCACTGGCTGGGACGTGGCATCTCTCATTCCCTTGTGTTTCCTTAGAGTTCTGCTATTTAAGAACAAATTCCCAAACAATATGCTGTTATGCGTTTTAACTAACTGGCACGTGAAAGACACCTTTGGTGCCTGCTCTCCTGAGACCTGCTGCTAGTGCGACACGGGGCAGGCGGCCCTCCTCCAGGCCGGTGCGGCTCTGCTTGTGACTATCCTAGGTTCCGCAGGGCGCAATCCAGGCCCCATGTCTCCTGAGGCCACATCCAGAGCCTGCAGAGCACATGCTAAGACAGCAACCGCCGATTCATACAACAGGATGTCTTCAGACTTTACTAGAATACAGTACACTGCCTTCCCAAGTGGTTGCACTATTTGTAGTCCCGCCAGTGGCACCTGAGATGTCCCATATCCCATGTCCTTGCCTTGGCTGCACCAGACCCTGTAACTCCTTCCCATCGGATCTACGTGGCCATCACTTACTCTTCACGTCCAGCTGGGCGGCGTACTTGGTGAAGCCCTTCAGGCAGACCTTCTCGCCCAGGAGGGCAAGGAACTCCTCGAAGGCCGGCCCAGCCTCCTCGTTGTTGTACATCTCTTCCTCGGAGCTCTGGCCAGCTTTGCAGTACAGGATGCCCACCTTGTGTTTCCGGCACAGCTGTGGAGGCAAGAGCAGCTGTGTGGGCCTGGCCTGGCCAGGCGGGGGGAGAGGATGGAATAAGGGGAGGTTCTGAGGTGCTGAGCCCAGGAGCTGCTGTGACCACCTGGGAAGTCAGCCATGGCCAGGAGGAAGGAAAGAGATGTGGGGCAGAGCCCAGCTGTCTCTCTCCACCCGCCCTTTCCAGAGAAGTGCAGGGAGGTGTCTCTGCCGCCTGCTCTCTCTACTGTGGACGGAGGGTGGCTGTCGATGTCACTCTTAAGGCAGAGATGGTAGCATGGCCAGCTTCCTACAGGAGGTGGATGGGCATTGGCTGAGCAAAACCTCGGGGCTCCAGGCTTGAGGTCTAGGCTACTTTAGTGGGGATAGCCCCTACTGACCATGCTTGTTTCTGGTACCCTTGATCCTCCTGGTCCCTGGACCATGGAGTCTGAATCTGATTTACACAGGGGCTAATTAGTGACTCTATGGCACCGAGACTCAGCTAGCTGGGGTCTGCATGTGGCTGGAAGTCCAAGAGCAATGCTGGCAGCTATGGGAGGGGCCAGAGAGACACCAGGAGCCAGTGTGCAGAGGTGGCTTTCCCTTTCACCCTCTCTCATGTGGCAGTGTGCACGTGTGACACACACACACGCACACTCGCACCAACTTCCTGGTGGTTGTCTCCCTTCCAGGACGCTGTTCTTGCCACTCCTAGAATCTGATCACAGATTCTTCCTGTTGCTGATACTAAATCAAGTGAGTTTTGTTACTTGCCAAAAATCAATAAATAAAATGAGGAGGAAAGAGGGGCTGGGAGTGGGACTGCAGGTGGTGCGCCCGCCCCGAGCCCTGCTCACCCCTTGCTCGTCGAGCTTCAGCAGCTGCTCTGTCACCTTGGGAGTGTTGAGAGCCAGTCGCAGGCAGTGGATGTTGAGCTCAGGGATGACGTACTCCAGGGCATCCTTCAGGGGCAGGCCCCGCCCAGTCCCATGCTTGGTGGCTGTGGGGGTTGCATCCTCCAGGATGGAGCCCCGCAGGGTGATGAGCTACTCAAGGAAGAGGAGGGAAGGTTAGGAGGTTCTCAGGCCTTGAGACAAGAAGCATGTGCGAGGGATTAGAAGCTCTGAAGGTAAGCCGGGCATGGCGGCACACGCCTGAAATCCCAGCTACTTGGAAGGCGATGCAGAAGAATGCAAGTTTAAGGCCAGCTCGGGTAACTTAGTGAGACCCTATCAAAAAAAAAAAAGCAGTGAGGCGGGGGTAGGGATGTAGCTCAGTGGTACAGCACTCTGGGGTTCAATCCACAGGACTATGGGGGAAAAAAATTTCTAGGGGCTGATCAAATGTCTTGGGTCAGAGCCAGACTTGCTGCCTCTTTTCCACATGATCTTGAAGTCCCAAGTGATTTCAGATTTCTGAGCTTCAATGTCCTCTTCTGTGGTACAAAAATGGGCACAGTGATAGTACAATCACCCTGACAGGTTGTTGGAAGGTTAAATGAAATACCATGTGCCTTCCTTTGTCCAGCACATGACAGATGCTGCCTCCTGGGTACTAGTCCTGTTAATTTTATTCTAATTTGTTGTACACAGTGGCAGAAAGCAATTAATTTCTTATTACACATAAAGAGCACAATTTTTCAAGCCACTGTACACAAAATATTTTCACACCATTTGTGTTTTCATACATGTACTTAGGGTAATGATGTCTAACTCATTCCACTAGTCCTGTTCTAAGAATGGGAAAAGAGCTAGGACTCTGTCCTGTGGGTTATAGGAAGCACAGCAGGAGTTAAACAGGCTCCATGAGGAGGCGGCTTCCCACTGTCATCACCACAACAACATTATGTTATAAACGTAGCCAGGTGTGGTGGTGCACACCTGCAATCCCAGCTACCTGGGAGGCTAGCCTCAGGAACTTAGCAAGACCGGATCTCAAAATAAAACACAAAAAGGACTGGGGAGGTAGCTTAGCGGTAGAGGGCCCTGGGTTAGATGCCTAGCACCAAAATAAATAAATAAATGTTATTACCATGAATGCTCATGTGGAACTCCTGTTGGTCCTGCATAATCGCATCGGCTTACATATGAAACCACGGCGCCGTTTTTTTTTTCTTTAATATTTATTTTTGTACTTTATTTATTTATTTTTATGTTGTGGTGAGGATGGAACCCAGGGCCTTGCACTTACGAGGCGAGTGCTCTACCGCTGAGCCAACAACCCCAGCCCCAAGGCACTAGTTTTTTGATGGTTTCATAAAGAAAAAGGAAAAAACAAAAAACAAACAAACAAACAAAAAAAAAAACACCTGAGATTTATCGATTTCTTTCTTTCTCATGGTGCTGGGGTGGAACCCAGGCCTGGTGCATTCTAGACAGGTCTCTACCACTGAGCTGCAGCCCCAGGGGCAATCTGTATTCTTTGTTATCTGGTTTTCTTTCTCTTAACGCTGTGTATGTGAGATTCGACCGTGTGGTAGCGAGAGGTAGGTAAGTAGATGTTTTTACCCTGGTGGATTTATTCCTTTCTACCGCTGAAGAGCGCCCCAACTGCTTCCAGTATTTGACAACTGTGAATGGTGCTGTTAGAACATTTACAGAAGCACCTCTTGGTGCACATGAACATATTTTCTTTTGGGTTTACACCTAGAAATTGCTAAATTTCTAGGCATGCTAATTTTCAGTTTTACTAAACTGCCAAGAGATTTCCAAGTGGCTGTACTAATTTACATCCTGCTAGCCTGTCTGGGAGCCCCCACTGCCCCACGTCCTCACTAACACCAGCCATGCTTCCAGCCACAGAGTGCTGCTGGCCATGAGGTTATGCCATGCACTGGGCCGGGCACAGCAGGTCAAAACCATACCAAGAATGCATGGCAACAGCCTGAAACACATCACAGGGAAAAAATCCCTCCCCCAGGGGCTTACTAGCACACACTTGGAGCTGTGTTTTAAACACTAAAGGAGATCAGTGTTAACTGCAAAAACTTGCTCACCTAAGTCAACAGACATGGGAGGCAGCAAAAGTGTGTCATGACCTCGCCTCCAAGCACACAGCCCACCCTTGCCAAACAGGACCTGGGCAAGAGGTGAGCATGGAAGGAATGGAATGATCTCACGGTTGGGGGTTCCCAGTTCTGGCCCCGCTGATTAATAAACAAACAAATCTCTCATATCATAAGCAAAGCAGTCTTGAACAGCAACGACGTCAGGCGCTTTGCCTTGCCAGTCTGGGTGGCTGCAGGGCTGTAGGTTTCAATTAATGCACCAACAGGATGAGCATCTTTGATTCCTATAGACACTGTCCCACAGTGCCCTCTGCTGGGGACAAAAGACCTCAAGGACCAGAGATCTTCATTCTGGCCTGGTGGCACATGCCTATAATCCCAGTGACTTGGAAAGCGGAGACAGGAGGATGGCAAGTTTGAGGCCAGCCTCACCAACATCATGAGACCCTGTGTCAAAATAAAAAAGGGCTGGGAGTGCAGACCACTGGGAGAGTATCACTGGGTTCAATTCCCAGAAATGAAAAACCAACCGACAAACCTCCATTCCTCCACGTGGCGGGCAGGTGTCCTAGGCTCATATTTGGCTTTGGCCATTTCACCAACACTCACTACTTAAAAAAGCTCCCTGCTCGTCCTTCTGCACTAGGGAAAAGAAGTAGGGCACTGTTGGGTCACAAGTGCCATCCCCCTCTACCTGGTGGTGTCCACCATGATCCCCCACCACGTGGCTGCCTCCTCCCTCCGGGGTTCCCCGACCCCACCCCACTCCCATCCTCTCCCCTGGAGCAGTCAGGTCACCGGTCTCTGCTCGGAACCCAGGGCCATCTGGCATCATCTCACTGAGGTTTAGTGAGTTGTGAGAGAGACACAGTGCCACATAAGAAAGGACACTATTTGTGTGGGTTAGTCTCCACCCGCTCCTGGCTCAGATGCGTTCCTGCCCTTCTGCACAGGGAGGTGGCTATAACCTTCAAGTGCCCCTCCCTTGCTCTGTGACTCTGAACTAGTAGCTTAATTTCTCTCTGCCCATTTCCTCATTGACAAAACGGGGATGAGAATGCCTACTTCAAAGAACTGCAAAGATTCAAAATGAAAGCCCACGTGTACTGCTCAGCACTATATCTGGAACATAGCGAGAGTGCAAATGTGTCAGCCATTACTACATGCAGACGTGCCAAACGTACACGCACAAAGTCACACAGACACTCAAGAAATGCTTCAGCCTCAAGAGGAAACTCCAGTTTGCTCTCCTCCTGCTTAACAGTATGCTTTTGGGATTTTTTAGATAAGCTCACATGCACACACGCACACCTGCGCACACGTACACACTCAGATGCACCTGCTGAACACAGACAGGGTCCCTTTAGACACCGGGGCATGGCTTTCTTCACTTACTAACATGTTCCCCTTTCTACTTTGCATACTGTGTACTGTTTAAATTATTAACAATGAGGTTTTGTACATTATTCATAAAAAAGAAAAAGTGATGAAGAAAATAAAAACCCAAACTTCTATTCCTGTCAAAACTAAGGCCCATCAAAAACTTACCTTTGGCAAGACAAAGAGAGGCCACTGGGCCCAGTGGGCCAGGCAGCCCCGGTTGGCTGGGGTGCTTCGTGTTCCAGCTGAGCCAGTGCCAGCAAGGAGGCTTGGGACAGGGCAGCCCTGACCAGCCTCGTCCTGTCCAGGCTCACTGGGAGCTGGCATTTGGGCATGTGGTGCCAGGGCCCAGCTCCCAGTCTGCTCCGCCTCCGTGGGGAGCTTGGCACCGCCAAGGCTCACATCCCATCTGCTGGGAGATGCAGGCCCACTCGGGACTGTCTGCTTGGCGGCTGGGGGTGGCCATCTGGGGCAGGCCAGCCAGCTGACCTGGAAGGGGGCCTGGACCCCATACCCTGGTTAACCAGAGCCAGGGGCACACGTGTGTGGACAGGACGGAGCCCTGTCGGTCCATGAGCTGGACCCCACACTCCCAACAGGGGCCTCCAACCTCTTGGCAAGGAATGACAGCCATCCGTCCCATCAGTCACATGGCACCCAGCAAGCAGAGCTCTTGCTGCCCTGCAGTCTCTGCTGTCACTTCATGGGAACCAGCCTGAGAGCACCTTGTATCTGCCCAGGCACAGCTCACAACCCATCTTACAGATGAAGAAATTAAGGCACACAAAGGAAAAGCCACCAGCCCTCATTAGGGAGGGACAGCACCAGACACTGACCCCAGGGATGTGTGATCCCTGAGCCAGAATCCAAACTTAATCCAAAAGGTACTACAGGAGGTGGCGAAGGGCCCAGGAGCAGGGCAGCCTTGGGCCATGTCCTGGTTCTGCTGCTGGTGGATTTGACAAATGATTTTCTGTCTGAGATCCAATGTCCTTTTCTTTGGAATGGACATAATAATGGGATGGACGCCCTCTACCCGCCATCATGGCGCAGTGGAGGAAGGATGGGTCGATTCCTGCTGCTAACATGTGCTGTAATTATTAGTTGTCACTACTGCTACCGTCTTTGGGCTCCTTTATTTTCTGCTCTGCCTCCACCAGGGGAAGGGCCTTAGGAAGTAGTGAGGCAACCCTTGAGGCCACTGCCCTCCCACCAACTCCAGATGATGAAGGTCTCAGGCCTGACCAGGAGGTTCTGCCAGGGTTGGGCCTGGATGAGTCTGCGTGTGGCCTGTGTGTGCGAAGACAGAGAAGGGCCTGCTTGTGGGTATGAGCCTCAGGGCAGGCCAGCCCACACGATTGAAGAACAAGGGGACAGCAGGCTGAGACCCAGCACTGCCTGATTTATGTGTACATGTCACTGAGTCCATACAGGTTCTGTGAGCCTAGGATTGCCAAGAGGGAATCTGAGGCTCTGAGAAAGGAAGCCATAGGCCCAGTGTTCTAGAGCTACAGGTGAGAACCAGAATTCACAGACCAGGATTTTGTACAGCAAGCATGTACCTGCCTCAGGACCTTTGCACTGCCTGTTCCCTTTACCTAGAATGTTCTGCCAGGTTTGTCTCTGTCACAGGAGCACATCGCTGCACCTCTCTGCTGCTCAGTCACTGCTGTACCCTCAAGCCCAGGGAGGGCTGACAGGGGGGATGGATGAATCCTGGCCCAATGACCGTGAGACTTGAGGGTCCCTGTGCCCAGCATGGGGTGGACTGGAGCCTCTGCAGACTGGTTTGGTGGGTGCTGGGGGTGGGAAGTGGGAAGAAGCATGCACAGCCAGGAAAAGCACGGAGCCAGTTTCCAATTACTGAATAGGAAGCCCAGCAGTTAGATCCCAAGCTGACCCAGCATGGATGCACGGAGGCCACAGTACCTGTGAGCACCGGCATTAAAAACACTCGCTCCACATATTCTTTCATTAAAAACAAAAACGCTGGCACCAAGTTAGCTGAGTTAATGACTCACGAATGGGCCTAACGTGTAGTCTAGGCAGTCAGGGGACTCCAGGGGCAGCCCAAAAGTGGCCAGAGCACAGACAACACCTGGCCCTGTCACTTAACTGAAGGATGCTTTGGGCAAGTCCCCAACTGCACTGAGTCTGTTCTGTCATATACATGAGGACAAGGGTACCTTCGTCACAGAACTGTGAGATGAGTAAATACATATCAATGACACGAACAATGCTGGACTCAAGCTTAGAGCAGTGTGCGGTGACAACGACAACCGCAGCTCGTATCACTTCATGAGTGTGGCTGTCGTTTCACCCAGCAGTGTCCACATGTCCTAACGCAGTCTGATACTGTGTGAACTGTCGCCTTGCATTCTGAAGAAGTGCTCATTTGGCCAGAAAGGTGAGCAGAGGGAAGAGGGGGCTGGGGACCACCTGCAGCCTGGACATATGGTTTTGGGGCCCACTCCCAGCTGCCACAAAGCCTCTGTGAACGTCTGCGTCAGGGGATGGGGCGAGGACCCTTGGTGCGGCATCTGCCAGCCTGGATGAAGTCCAATGCTAGGGTGGCCCCAAACTCAAAATCCTTGGCGGCGGCCACCTAGTGAGCTCCCACCCTTAAGCCAAGCCCAGGCCCACAGGGCTGGGGATGCAGGGCTGAGGGAGACCCAATTTGGGTGGCCTGCCTGATGACTGTCCATTTTCTGGAAAGGTCCTCCTACTCGGGCCTTTTGGGAGTCTCTATCATTGTTGCCTCCCCGGCCTGCTTTTTGCTGAGGATCTGCCCTGCCTCCTCTGGGTGGCTCCCAGAGAAGAGGGAGGGAACCACCAATCAGTGCCCTTGGCCTGGCCCCAGGTGGAGCACAACCCCACAGCTAGTCAGTTTCCTCCATCACCCTTGACCACAGTGACTGCCCGCCCTGGGGAAGCTTGTGATCCACCCACAGCCAGAGATGCAGCAGATAAGAGTCCTTCCTTCTTGATGGGAAGTTACAGAAGATCCAAGCAGCTGGTCTCCTTTTTCCAACCACATGGAGACAGCTTGTTGGTGGCAGGAGAAAATGACACTAGCAATGCTAAAGGAGGCAGAGCCATGCTGAGCTGAGAGCTGAGGAGGTGAACTCCGGAGACTTTGCTGGAGTCTGAGTCCAGCCAAACCTGAAGCTGCCCCTACCCTGGATTTGTAGTTACGCAAACCTGTTAATCGTCTTGTCTTAAACCAGTAAGAAATAAAATTTTTGTCACAATTTAGACTCACACTAGAGCAAGGTGCACCCTCCAGGCTTCCTTCCCTAGCTGCAGCTAATCTTTAATCTGGGGGGACCTCTGGCCCAGCTGGACAATGGAATTCTCTGCTCTGAATGGAAGGACGCAGCTGGGGGTGTTCTGAACTAACAAGCACAACAGCAGGGCCTGTTGAGACCCTCCAATTCCTGCAGGGCCTGGGGCTTGCTGCCTTATTCTTTCCAATATGGGGGACACCTCATATCCTGAGATGATCCCTCACCTCCCCCCTTTATTTTTATGCTAACTAGAGTTAATCTCTTGCAAAGAGACCTGCAATCCGGGACTCTGGATCACACCACTGGGTTCAATCTAAGCCTGGCGGCTTTTCTCTGATTCCATCCAAGTCAGCTCTGAGTCTTAGTTTCCTCCTTTGTTCAATGAGAGGCCAACAGGACCGCTCTCCTGGGGCTGCTGGAGGCTAATGGAAGCTGAAGCAGGAGTGCCTGACCCCAGAGCCTGGCTCGGGGCGCACAGACACGAGGAGTTTACTCATCAGGATTTAGAAAACAACGACGACGATGGGACCTACCTCTCGGGTCCGGAAGATGATCCTGTACTGGTACTGAGGTCCGTGGTCCTTGTGGTCTTCCAGCTTCTCCCGCTTGATGCTCACAGCCACTGGTCCCAGCTTCTCGTCCACCCCAAAGTAATTGGCATGCTCTGAGTAGGAAGAGCAGGTGGGCAGGGTCAGCTGGTGGGAAGAGAGTTCCCGACCCTGCTGATGGGAGGGTGGGGGAGGGGCGGGACCCTGGTCACCCAGATTTCCTGCTTCATTACGGCCCCGGGGCCCTGCTCAATAGAGAAACCAGAAGTAAAAGCCCAGCTTTCTGCACCAACTCTGCTCTAAGTCATAGACCTTTCCTGAACCTCTGGTGCTCTCATCTGAGAAACAGGGGCCCTGATGCCACCCACAGTTCAGAGAGCCCACGTGAGGTGGAATGAGGCTATAAATGTCAAATGCTCAGCACACGGAGTGTGACACACCCAGCACCACTGTGATTAAGCTTGCACTTGCCCATGGTCCGGCCAGCCCTGGCAAAATGATTACGACTAGTCCAGAGAGCCTCCTGCTGGCCCAAATCTGGGGAGGGATAAGATACATGGCCCAGGCCAAGCTGCTCAACAGCCTTCTCAGCATAAGATGGGTTTAAGGACAGCTGTGAGGAGTAAGTGAGGTGACAGGCTCCGTCCGCGCTGGGCACTCAGTAACCACATGACTGAAGCGTTGGCTAGCACCACCCAGGGCGTGCGTGATGCTTCTTCTGGACCCTAAGAAGCACCTCTACCTGACCGTGGTTCTTTAAACCCTGCTCATTTCTCTTAGGTGACAGAGCTTTCAGCAAGTCATGCAGCAGGTCTCTAACTCTTTCTGCTCAATGACAGCCGTCTCTCCTTGTCCCTAAAACTTGCCACTGTCTATCTTATAACTGTTTCAGGGGACAGTTCTTCCCCGAGTCTCCTGCTTGTGATCTCAGCTCCACAAAGTCAGCATCCACCGTTGCCAGAAAAAGGGCCCTGTGAGTGGCTGTCCTGGAACTTGAGATCCTCCTGCCTCAGCCTCCCAAGTCCTTGGGATTACAGGTGTGTGCCGCTGCTCCTGGCTCTTTGGAGCCCAGGAAGCTCATAAATGACTCAGTCATTAGCAGTGTTCACTGAGTGCCCACTGCAGGTCTGTCGACTTCTGCATGCGGCCTTCTCAGGTTACTTCCTCAGCCCTAAACCAGGCTGCCAGGTTCCCAGCTTCCAGATCTTTGGTGAATTTAAAAATGAATATAAATGCCTCCCCCCCACAGTCCCACCCCCTGTTCCTCTAAATGGTACTTTTAGCCTCAAATCCATTCTGTGTGGCACTGATGCTGCCTCATCAGCTTTCTTTCTCCTGATCAGCAACCGTCTGGAACTTCTTTTTTCATCCTCTTATTTTCAATCTTGGTGTTATTTTGGTCTGGGCACGAGATCCTAGTAGGATCAGCTCCACTCCTCACATGCAGATGGTTTGAGGGGGAAACGTATCGCACAGCTCGTAAGCTGTGGAACACACCCTGAGACCCAGGGCTGCCTCACTCCAGGCTGGAACTCCGGGTGCATCCTGAGCCCTGCAGGATGGCCTGGTTGACACCTGTTATGTTTGCTGGGACACTGCTTTTTTTTTAAAAAAATTTAAATCATTGGCTGCAGAGTACTAGCTGCCTATCCATTATCCATTACCCCCTCCCTTCTTTAAGATAAAAAATAAAATAAACCCTCTATTCTTGGAGGATGCAAAGAGAGACTCTTCCTAGCTAAAAATCTACACTTCCAGCCTCTTTCCAGACAGGAGTGGCGAATAAACACAAATAGCTGCATTGAGTTTCTGAGAAATCTCTTCAAAGGGGCCTGATTTCACATGAGATCTGCCTTCATATTCTTTCCCTTTCTTTTTGCCGGCCTGGAAATGGATGTGGTGGCTGGACCTTCAACAGACACCTTGGCCTTGGGGCAGGCACTATGAGGGGTGGAGGCCATATACTAAATCTGGCATTGCACTGGTGCTAAAGAGTAACCATACCACGTCCTGGGCTGGTGATCACTGGCCTTCTTTATATGAGAAAATATGTTGGCCTTTTTTATATTGTTTCAACTAGTTCTGACCAGTTATAAGCTATTCTCAATACAGCTGCCAGAACTTAAAAATTAGGAGTCAGCTGGGCATGGTGAAGCATGGCTGTCATCCCAGCAACGTAGGAGGTTGAGGCAGGAGGATGGCAAATTTGAGGCTAGCCTCAGCAACTTAGCGAGGCCCTAAGCAACTTAGCCTGTTGTTGGGTTGGAAGAGGAACAAGGAAACCAGGGAGGAGGCTCTGGAGTGGTTGAGAGGAGGAGATGGTACACAAGTTCAAGATGGGAGTGTTGGTCATCCCTGCACCCCCAGGCTATAGCTGTACCAAGCCCATGTTTGCTGAATAACTGGGCATCTACAGTCTCCCGTAGCTCTGGGTTTATGGAGGGCCAAACAACAATCACCCTGTTTCCAAAATGAAAAATAAAAAGAGCTGGGGATGTAGCTCAGTGGTAAAGTGCCCCTGGGTTCAATCCCCAGTACCAAAAAATAAAAATATAAATAGAAGAGTCTTCATTAAACAATTGGAATTTCAGGAGAATCTTGCAAAATTACAACTGCTGGCAACACTAGGTGTATCCACCTTTCTTGCAGGACAATAATCGCAGGAGCTGAGCTGGAGCTGCCTACGTCCTGCCTAACAGGGTCCCTTCTGCACGTTTGCTGCCTGGGCTTGTGGTCTCTGCACTTTGCTGTGCTGCCTTCAGGGAGTGTCCCTTAGCACAGATGCTGCACAAAGCCCCTCTCTCCCTGGTGGTACCCTCACTTCAACTGCCTCACCTTCAAAATGGACCCAGAACCCGTCCATGAGATGCTTCTCACTCCGGGGCTCCCATCCTGAGCTTGTGCACCATCTCCTCCTTGCAACCACTCCAGAGCCTTGCCCTGGTCTCCTGGTTCCTCTCCCAACCCAACACAGCCAGAGCGGGGCCAGGAGCACAAATCAGATTAGGACCCTCCTGTGTTCAGAGTCCACCTAAGTGTCTGCATCTTAGGGTAGAAATGAATCAATGAATCTTCACCACAGCTCACAAGAATCCCACTTGATTTGTCCTCGTCACCACTCTGTCCCGGCTCCCTCCACTCTCCCTGAGTCACTGTCCCAGCATGCTGGCCTCCTCTCTATTCTTCCAGTGTTCTAGGACTCTTGTACTTGCTGTTTCCCAGCTGCACACCTCTCCCTCCCTCCACCCAGGACTTATATGGCACCTCTGAAGAGGCCCTGCCTGACTGGCACACATCTGTGTTACTCTTCTCTGTGTTACTCTTCTCAGTGGCACATGGCACCCTCCAACCCTTTACCTATCTCAACTGACATGAGATACACCCCAGGCTCATAGCTGTACCAAGCCCATGTTTGCTGGATGACTGGGCATCTACAGTCCCCATGGCTCTGGGTTTATGGAGTGCCAACCCAGCCTCAGACTCGGGGCTCACTGAATCCCTAGCGTCCTCCGGCACGTAGATCCCATTTCCACAGCATCCTGAGAGCTGGGAGCAGGGCCTGGCTCAGAGTGAATGCGAGTGCAGCAGGTCTCAGAGATGAGGCGGGGCAGGCCCACCCACTCGCCCCCCCAGGTCACCTTTGCCCACAAAGTAGTCCTGGTAGTAGCGGGCACCCAGGTCCACGTGCTCGATGCTGTACTGCCGGGGCCGACTCTGTGTCCTCTGCTGCTCCTTGGGCACCTCCAGCACTGAGATGCTGGCATTGGTGCGGTAGGCGCTCAGGGTGGGCTCCACCAGGTGGCCCTCTGCCCCGCCTGGGGAGCCCACGGAGGCCCGGGAGAAGCTCACGTTGCGCTCGCACTCCCCTCCGATCTCGTTGCGGAAATGCGGGCAGCTGAGCAGCAGGTCATTGCTGTTGTCGTCGCCAAGGTCCTGCTCCAGGTTCTCTTTGCAGTTCAGGTCCTCTGTGCTGGTGAAGGCTGGGTCCAGGCCCCCGAGGCTGTGGGCCCGGGATGCTGTGACGGAGGCCATGGCGGAGGCGGCCGAGGCGGCGGAGGCCCCGGTGGTGGTGTTCCGCCGCTGGGCCACGGTCGCCCGGTTGGCGGCCGCCTCGTTGAGGTCGAACAGCATGCTCTGCACGTCGAAGTGGGCAAAGCTCTTCTGGCAGACCCACGGCCTGCTTGCTTCGGGGGGACTCCGGCCCTCCTCGGCCTCCCCCAGGGCCCGCCCGGCTTCCCCGTCAGCTTTACTGCTTCTCAGCTTCCGGAAGATGGACGAGTCCACCGTGTCGCCACTGCCCAGGCCCCGCACGGGCTTCTTCCGGGTCTTCTCCTTCTCCTTCAGAGGCTGCAGGAGGAGACTGTCTTTGGAGGGCTGCCCGTTGCGGGGGTCCCCCTTGGCTCCACAGCCGCCCCCTGAGAGATGAGGGCCAGGGTCTGCCCGAAGCAGCTCGCTGAGGGTCTGGGCGCCCCGGGCCTCGGGCTGCTCGCTGCGGAACTCATTGAGGATGTCGAAGAAGCTCTGCTCGGGCACGCCGTGCACGTCGATGGAGGAGGTGCTGCCGTATTCTCGGAAGAGGGGCAGGGCCCCTGTGTGCCGGCCCCCCCGAGGCTCCCCTGGGTCCTCCACATCACACTCACTGAGGGTGATCTCACTACTGCTGCGGTGTCGCAGAGGGAGGAAGGCCCTGCCGGGGGACCGGGGCCACCCATCCTGGAATTCCACATCTTTGGACCTTCTCCTGGAGAGTCGGTGGAAGGCTTTGGACCCTGAGGAAGCTGAGGTGCTGGCAGGGGGCTGTCCATTCTGTATGCTCCTCATGGAATGGGCCACCTTGGTGGCCTTTGTGACTTCTGTGTCCTGTGAGGGGCTTGGGTTGCTCTGCTCTCTCAGGGCCTCTCGCTTGGGTGGCCAGTCGGCCACTCGAGCACGAACGCCCATCTTGGGCATTGCAGGGGTGGTGGGGCTGGGGCGGGTGGTGGCAGTGGCTGGGCTCTCACCAAGAGGCTGGGACATGCTGCCATTCTGGGCCCAGAATCCCATGGGAGTGTAGTCCCCTGTATGTGGCCCAGGGAGGACATCGGAGCCCCTGGCCCCACAGCCAGCTGCCAGGTCCACGCCATCACTGGGAAGGGGCCGATAGGTGGTCATAGTCCACAGGCACTGGAATGCTGCGGGCCCCAGGAAGCTGTGGTGCAACTCTATGGGGTCCCCTGGCTTTCAGCCATTGTTCAGGGCCGCCAGTCCCAGGATGAAGGATGCTGGCCCCTGAAACCTGACACAAAGGTTGTGAGTCTGTGGAGTCCAGCTCTCCACCATCGCTGTGGACAGCTGAGCCAGGACAACTTCAGGAGGCAGGTGCTGTCCCAGGGGCTCCAGGCAGAGTGGCTCAGCAGGGCAGAGCAAGCAGCAGCTGTGGGTAAGGGCCGGCCGGTGGCAAGGGTGTCCTTCCTGCCATGCTGGAAGGGGAGAAAAGGAAGATGTGAGAGTCTTGAACATGCTACTGCTCCCACAGAAGGGGAACATGGATTTTCTTTTTTCTTTTTGACACCTTCACTCACTTAAAAAAAAAAAATTATTATGGACATTTTCAATCACACTCAAAAGCAGAGAGAAGATCATAATGAGCCACCCACCAGCTCTGACAACCATTAGCTCTTTGCCACTTCTTTTATCTGTTTGCCCAGCCAATCTTGATTTGTTTTTGACAATATTTTATTTTTCAGTAGTGGGGAGAGAACCCAGGGACTTGTACAAACTAGGCAAGTGCTCTCCAGCTGAGTTATGCCCCCAGCCCCAACAATATTTTAATCTCAGACACCGGATCATTTCACCCATAAATACTTTAGCGGAAAGGTTTTAAAAAAATAACCATGATAAGCACTATCATATCCACGTAAGTTAACAAAGATTCTTTATTATCTTGCAACTCTGTGAGCATTAGATGCTCCCCACCCCAAAGTGTCTTTTGTTGCGCTGGTTTGTTCAGATGAGGATGCAAACAGGATCTGTACTCTGCTTGCTCGGCAGATGTTTCTCTTGTCTCCTCCGCTCTAAGCAGCCGCCTTCCTCTATTCTGATGCTGTTTACTGGTTGAAGGAATGGGGTCACTTGTCCTGTGTAATTTCACTTTTGGGATCCCTGCGGTGCCACTTAACATGTTCCTCTTCCCCTGTATTTCCATGTAGAGGGCAGACTACTGTCCATCTGCTCTGCAGTCCGCCCCACCGGCCACGCGGCCAGAAAGGAAGTGAAAGGGGTGGACTACTCACCAGGAGCCGAGCCCCTGGAGCTGGGGGAGGGAAACCGCAGCGCAAACTCCGCAATTAACAGGCGGTATGAGCCTCCCAGTAAGGTGGATCCCACCGCTGCTTTGCTGAGATCTCCCTGGCGACTCCTCACTGCACTAAGATGAAATTTACACTCCTCTCCCTGGCCCTCAGCCCGCAGGATCTGGCCCTCGCCAGTCACCCTGACATTTCTCCCCATCTCTGACTCAGCTCCCACCAGGCTGGTCTTTTCTGTTCCTCTGACACACAAATCCAGGATTTCTGGGGATCTTTCCTTAGTTTCCACCAGGCTGGCTCCTTCCCGTGATGGCAACTCTTCAATGAAGACTTCCCAAACCACTCGGTACAGACAGAGAAGCTTCCTCGAAGCCTTTTTACCACCCACAGCTTTCTCTCTGCTTTTCTTAGCAGTTGTCAAAAGCCAAAACTATTTTGTGCTTTATCTGCTCACTATCTCCACGGCTAACGCCAGCTCCGGCATGGCAGGATTGTCTGTGCCATTCACGGAGGGATCCCCTGCACCCAGACTGGTGTCCAGGTCACCTGGTCACTGCTTCTTGTATGAATGAGTGAAGAGGTGGCCTCTTCCTAATGTGGGGTTAGGCACATGCTGGTCTGCAGGCCTCTGGGGAGGGAGTTCTCGCTTCTGTCCAGCAGTGTGAACCACTGCACAGGGCCACCTCTTTGTCTTTACTTTGAACTTGTAGAAGATGAAACGCCCCTCTGGACCCTCTGGAGAGCAAGGGTAAGTGGCTCACCATCTGAGGCTGAGCCTATTGGCTTCCTTGGCAGCCTTGCCCCTTCCACCTGCCAACACAACTGGCAGGAGGGTGCTGGGAAGGGTGGGCACTGGCTCAAAATAACCAATAACTTTTCTGTCCTTTGGAATCTAGAGGCAGGCACGACATGACCATCCTGGCCAACAACCACTGCTGCTTACCACGCGAGGTGTGTGTGTGGGGGGGTCCAGGGGTAATGGTGAACCAGCGAGAGGAACCAAGAGGGACGCATGAACAGATTCATGGGACAAAACAGCGAGGAGGCCCACAGCCTCCGGGGAAGTGAGGACCAGAGGTGAGGGGAGGGCGGGACACCCCTCTTGCTGGTGTCCCATGAGTCCAGGAACATTCCTGAAGATATCCAGGAAGGCAATATAGGAGACAGGCCAGAAAAGGGGTGGAAGTAGGGGAACCCACAGGGTCAGATTACTTGAGGGAGACAGAGAGGCCAGGAAAAGCCCATGGTGAACCATTTGCCAAGAAGCCAGTGGGCCTCAGCTTCCTCCAACTGCATCTTTCAGGAATAAGGATGCCAAATCACCGATTTTTAAAGAGAAATCAGAGATCTAGAAATATATTCAACATCACCCAAGTTGAAAAGCAAAACAAATAATGATAACGATATCAATAAACTACCATGCATAGATTTCTAGAAGGATTTCTGAGCCGGGCACCAATGTGCATGCCTGTGAATTCTAGCGGTCTGGAGGCTGAGGCAGGAGGATGGGGAGTTCAAGGCCAGCCTCTACAACTTAGTGAGACACTGTTTAGACAATAAGCTCTCAGTGGTAGAGTGCCTGCCTAGCATGCAGGAGGTCCTGAGCTCCATCCCCAGTACAAAAGAAAAGAAAGTATCAACAGTAGTTGCCTCTGGTGAGGAGAACTGTGTGTCTGTCCCCTCATTCCCATGCCCTCCTCAGTTTCATTTTTTTCCCTTTGCTTTCCTTATGAACATATTTGCTTATTTCTCTTATCCATTTACTGGCCTTCCACCCCCTGTGAATGTGAGCCACCATTGTGTACCCAGTACCTAAATGTGTGTCGCAAAAAGGGGAGGTAGGGTCTTACTTTTTTCACTGGACATCATTGGCTGCTTTCCAATTTCTTTTGCATGTATTTCTGGTCAATAATTGAATACTTTTTAAGAACATTACTGATCAAAAGAACAATGAGGGTCCACGAAGTATGCTGTGGGCGGGGTCAGGCAGCTGCTGCTGGTTTTGCAACCTCCAGTGACTGGGGCTACAGCTTTGCCAGAGAAAAATCAAATGCTGTTTTCTTTTTTGGTTCGTCTCATTATCTGTTGCCTCGACCACTAATCAGTCAGCTCCAGAGTAGCAGGGAGCTTGCTAGAAGGCTTGAGCCCAGCCCCACTCTGCAGGGGTGGCTGGCCTGCCGAGGGCGAGGGCACTGCACGAATCAGCTGCCCACCTTGCATGTGGCCCCACCTGCTCAGCCTAGCATGCTGCAGAGGGAGGCTCAGAGCTACACTTGGCCTGGGTGGAAAAAACCAGTGGTCCAGACGTGACCTTGACTTGCTGCCGCACACAGACAGGCTCTACTGATGGCATTTGGTTTCAGAAACCCTCAATCCGCTTGCGCCTTCTATGACCACATACAGATGTTCTAGCAGACCCTGGTCTCTTTGATAAATCCCTTCCATAAGCAGGTGCAGCTCAGTCTCCCTGTGACTTTTTTGTACCAGGATTGAACTCAGGGGCATTTAACCACTGAGCCACACCCCCAACCCTTTTTTGTATTTTGCTTAGAGTCAGGGTGTCACTGAGTTGTTTAGCAACTCGCTAAGTTGCTGAGGCTGGTTTTGAACTTATGATCTTCATGCCTCAGCCTCTCGAGCCACTGGGATTACAGAGGTGTGCCACCGCATCCGACTCCCTGTGACGTTCTGAGAGTGAGTGGCACCCATAGCCTCTGGAATTCCGGGACTGTGCACACTAGTCGTTTGTCAGCTGTCTGATGTAGCACTCCCCTTCCTAAACACAACCGATCTTCCTCACAGGGAGCCCCTATTATGAGAGGAGAGTAACCTGCACACAGGAACCAGACCCCTGGGCTCAAACTCCAGAGTGCCATGGAGCCAGTTTCAATCTGTAAAGTACCTCACTGTCATGAGTTATCACAAGCTGATTGTCCCTAATATGAAAATCTAGAATCACTCAAAATGCTCCACAAATGGAAAATTTTCACACCTGAATTCAGGAGCCAACTGAAATACTCCATCAAATTACCTTCCAGCTATGTGAGCAAGGTGTGTATAAAACTTACCTGCATTTCACCCTGTGAAATAGGTCCCACCCCCAAGACATCTTATTATTATGCATATACAATATTCCACAATCTGAAAAATCCCAAATCTGAAAACACATCAGGTCCCAAGCATTTCAGACAAGGACGTGCCACCTCCATTACCATTCTTTGGTGCATCTTTGGTATGAGCTCTTACCCCAATTATGGAGTAACAGGTGGGTGGACAGAACGAATGGGCCCGGCATCCTCCTGTGAGCTCTGTGCAAGGTTCACAAGAGCTTTTGCATGGTGTGAGTTTTGCTGGGGATCCAGGTTCCTTCCCTCCAGTGCTTGCTGGCACTTACCTGTTCTCTAGGGTTGCTCCTGGGACCTCCTGGCCTCTAAGGAGCCTGGCTAGCTCAGGGTTGTGTGCAAGGAGGGCGGGTGGGAAACAGCAGGGTGGCCTTGGAGTCAGCAGCAAAGCAAGAAGCAAGTGGCAGTGGTGGAGAGTCAGCCAGGGTACAGTTGGTGGCAAGTCGCAGCAGTTAGTGGCGGTTGGGACAATGCAAACATGTAGCCCGCTGGAGGTCAGATATGGGCTCCAGGCTTGGTGTGGCCAACAGGCAAAGGCACTCTTTCCTTTCTGCCCCTGAGTGTGCTGCTGGCTAACCGATTTTGTCTTGTTGCCTCACGGTCATAAGCTGCCTCACGGCCACACTTCTCAATGAACCACTGGCAAGGGAACACACAGGGATGGTCTAAGAGCACTCTTCTTATCTGACTGACCAGGAGGAGGAAGGAGAATCTTTCCCTGACCTTGAACAGCCCCTGATCTCTCACCTCCTACTACTTCTTCCCCTTTTTTGCAAGGGGTGGGGTGGAGAGGGAAACCAGGGTCTTGCACATGCAAAGCAAATGTTGTTATCACTGAACTGCATTCCCAGCACTTTGTATTGATACAGTGTCTTACTAAGTGGCCCAGGCTGGCCTTGAACTTGTGATCCTCCTGCCTCAGCCTCCTGAGTAGCTAGGATCACAGTTGTGCACCATCATAGCAGGCTGACCTCAGCACTTTCAGGTTCACTGGTCAGAATGTGGTCCACAGCCCCTCCAGTTGCAAAGGAAGCTGGGACAGCTATAATC